AGCTCTAGGTGCGCCGCATTTCTAACTTATTGCTCAACTTACATTTGTTTCTGGAATGTTAATTTCCTAGTTACCCGTTCATCAAGGCCTCAGAAGGGGTAACTTTGAAACTAGCCAACCTAACTGGAGCAAAAGAAGAAAGGTCAGGCACCGACGAGCTTTGACCTGACTGCACTACGTGGTACTTTTCTGTACCTGTGGCTGGGAGGAGGCACGTCAAGAGTCTGTGTCACATTTAAAAAGAATGTATCAGCAATGGCGGCAAAACTCATGGCCATTTCCAAAAACTGAGCCCACTTTCCAAAGCCAAAGTCATTTGGAAACATACACACATGCTGAACACACAGTGGGGATTAAAATGAGCCACGTCGTTTTCTGACCACAATAAATACTGCGAGTAGCTCTCATGCTTATAGGACCGGCAGAGAGGCACTCCACGTTTCACCCACTTTCTCCACCTCAAGATAATCAGGAAGAATTATCCCACTGCTATCACCTATGAGCAGGTATCTCTAATCCAAATGGGGCTAAAAGCAGTTGGTGCCACAGTGACGGAGTTGGAACATGTCCCGACCCTTCAGAGTATTGATGGGTCACAATCCTTTCGATTCAGACTTGTAAGTTCTGATGATGTCATTTAAAAACGAATTATTTTACATGTCTAGGTTTGTGTGTGTGTGTGTTTTAATGCATTGAGAGACATGCTGAAGGCAGAACATACATCCTTAACTCTTGTTGCTTAACTGTGAACATCTTTACTAAGCAACCACATTAGTGAGGAATTATTAGGGTTCTAGAGCTGAAAGGGACTCTGGAGAGTACCTAATCTCTATGGCTCAATTTTAGATTAGAACAAACCACTACAAAAAAAACCCCAGAGATTATGTCACTTCCCCAAGGAAACCCGGTCCATCAATAACCCAGGGGTCTAGTATCAAAACTTTCAGCTCTAACTTTTGCCCTTGCTTATCTAGTAATGGCTCAGCACTATAATTTTAACATAAGGTAGAAAAGGAAATACACTGAAATACATTTCAGATATTGTCTCATTTACAAGACAACCCTACAAGGTAGGCGTAATTACCCCTCACTTTACAGATTAGGAAACAAAGTCATGGATTAAATAACTTTCCTAATGTCACAGAGATACTGAACGGCAGCCCCAGGGTCAGAACCCTACCTTGTCTACCTGCCCGTAGAATTAGGTGCTGGAAACAGCCCCATCTGCTTGCCACCCCGTGCATCTGTGGACGGGCGTGGGTTTAGAACACAGATCACACGGTGCTTCCTTGCTACTGCCCTCTCCAGTCTACAGGTTTTACTGGCGGAAACACCCATCATTCTGGTTTTTCTGACCCTGTGCAACATTCAGCCCCTTTCCAGGTACTGTAGCTGTCGGAAAGTAACAAAGCAGTTACTGTTTAAAAAATTCTATGATTTGGAATTTTCCCTATTTTATATTCAACATCCCACCCACTGAGCTCAGCCTAGATCAGAGAGTCTTACTATATCGTAGCTGCCAGATTCCCCCAGATCAACGGAAGGGAGCGTGAAGGCAAACCCAGGTTTATGCTGCCCGCCGGCTTTGGTCCGCTCTCCGCCTCTCACCGCATCAGGGGAGAGTGTGAGCGTAACTCCGGTCTGAATTACCATTATTTCACCAAAATTAAGGAAAGGCAGGCCCACCGATCAATTTAAGAAATTGTTACTAGGTAGTATATACTGATTAGAAATAGCTAACAGCACACAAATACTTCTAATGCTATTTTTAAAATAGAAACAATTAGGCTTTTCCAAGTCCTGATTATCTTTTCCTTTCTTTTACTTTTTCATCTTCAAAAGGCACCTTGCTTTGCTTAGGCTGGTGACAGAAATGTTAATTTTAATTAATCCTTGTAATTAAGTATTAACGGTATCTCTTGCCTTCTCACAAGTCCCTAGGAAGTAAATCCATATACTGTACACATCTCTGGCTCTATAACTTACCAGACAGGGGCTAACTCAATTACAGCTTATCTGTATGTATATGTGGAACTGTTGAATAATGGGGCAATTGAGTATTTTAATTAATTGATACTCTGCTGTTTTGTTGATACTAAAAATATACACATGCTGTTCATTTACTCAACAAATATTTACCAAGAGCCGGCCATAAGGCAGGCATTTTTCCAGGTGTTTGAGATACTGCTGGGAACAAAACACAGAAAAATTCCTACCCTCATGGAGCTTACATCCTAGCAGAAGAAGAGAGAAAATGAGCATTAAGTATAATAAATAAAGCATATAGCATATTGGAAGATAACCAGTGTGGGGAAAAACAGAGCAGGTTAAGGAGGAACCAAAGTTTAGAGGAGGACAAGTTACAATTTTATTTTATTTTTTAAAAGATTTTTAAATTTATTTTTAGAGAGAGAGAGGAAAGGAGGGAGAGAGGGAAAGACGTATCATTGTGTGGTTGTCTCTCGCGCACCCCCTACTGGGGAACTGGCCCGCAACCCAGGCCTGTGCCTTGACTGGGAATCCAACCAGCAACTGTTTGGTTCACAGGCTGACACACAATCCATTGAGCCACACCAGCCAGGGCAACAAGTTACAATTTTAAATATAATGGCAGGGGTAGGCCTCATTTAAAAGATGACATTGAGCAAAGAAATGAGGGAGGTTGAGTTAGTAGGTCCTGTAGCTTAGGGAAAAGACATTCTGGGAAGAGTGGACAGCAAAAGCAAAGGGCAAGAGCAGACCCAAACCTGGACAGACAGGCCAGAGTGGAGGGAGGAAGGGGGGTAAGAGAAGAAGGGACTGGGGGGCGGGGTGTAATTATATAAGTACTAGAGGCCACTGTAATTAACCCTTTGACCTTGATTCCCTGTCAAGAGCCGACAGTGCCTCTCACCTGAAACTCTATGGTAGTCTCTCTACAGATCAATATAAAGATGCAATTACTAGAGCGCAAAGACCATTTTAAAAAGCAAAGGAAACATTTCACTTTTAACTGCTGATCCCACTTCCAAGTGCTTGGACAATTCAGGTCTATGAGATAAGACACTGCGGTGTGCCTCTGCCTTATGGTTTGTAAAAAAGAGTAAATTTATTAGTCAGAGGCAGAGAGAAACAGTCCCGAAAATAACCCTTTTCATTCCTGAGAGAGAGACTGGTTACAGGGAATCCCAATAAATGACGTGAGTTTTTACTTCGAAAGCTTACATATAACTAAATTATGTTAAACTTCTTTTCCTTATTAAAAAGCTAGGTTTAACCGTGAATGAGGTGAATAATTGCCATGTATATATACAAAATACTCGGATTTATCTGGAGAGTCTAATGGTACTTAAACCGATTTTTCAGAAAGGCACTCTTCTTTGTTAAAAGGCTTTCTTCTATGGAAATACATGGCATTGGTTATTCCAGCTAAAGAATGTCAAGAACGGAATAATCACGCATTAGGTTACAAAGTTTGAAAGTTAATACAGCAGCACAGAGTATTTGTATTAGTGCTTTAAGTAGATAAATTAAATTGAAATGTGTCTCTTGAGCAGTCATTGAACAAGCAAGATGAGAAATAAATTAAGCTTCACATAGGCCTTTATGGCCTCTAACAACTGTGTCTGTCAACACATGGATCCTTTTCACTGTCAATTCAACACATTTTGTAGACCTTGGGCCTGCAATTATTTCATTTCCTTTCTTGGGAATGTAATTTCCACTTACTTTTAGAGAATAAAAGGCAGACAAAAGGAAGAAGGAGTTGCAGTATTTTCTGATTAAGATTATCTGTGTAAAATGGTAAAGGGAAAAAAAAAATCTATACACACACATTGAAGCATTTCTCAGAAACTAACTTGTCTCAGCCAAATTGCTTTTGTGTCTGGATATTGGTTCAAATGTAGCCCGATTGCTGATGTCAAATTAGATGTTAAACAAATCTAACAGGAAAGATGAAGAATGAATATAGATCATCTTTCTGTCAGAACTGTTCAAATGACTGTAGTCAAAAGAAACATATGACTGCAGGAGAAAATGCGCTTTTAAACACAATGAAATTAGACAAAACTGTAAATCAGCAAAGAAGGCCATTCATTCCAAAAGAGGGGGGGAAAAAAAGTTAATAGTACCAGTGAGAAATGGAAGAATGGAAGAAAATACCAGTTGGCAAAAATAGATCTAAATTGAATTTCAACTTCATTTGTCCAGGCTTCACCTTTTAAACTAAGACAGGCAGAGGCACAAAGAAGGATTCTTTCTCTCCCGATAGAACAGGAAATCAGGGTTTAATTAACTGTGATTACAATTACCATCGGCTGATCTGATTTGCCTCACCTCTTCCTTTTCTTCAAGTGACAAACCCCCTGACATCCTGGCAAGAGAACTAAAGCAAAACTAGACTAATTTCAAAAAAGGCCGACATTGTTATAAAACAAACTGATCCTCTACCAGATCCGTCGGAAACACGTTCAATAGCAGGATTACCTCTGTGACAAAGTGTCACTTTCGAGCAAGTCTGTGTAGATAACTCTTTACATGGTATGTTTTCATTCTCGGGATAGAGAAATATTAAGGCTCATCTTTAAGTGAGGACCAGAAAATAAGGTTGTAAAAAGGTACCCTTTAAAGTACATCTGAAGATCTAGTTCTTCTGAAAGATCTAGTATCTTCCTCAGCTCCTCATAAACCATTAAGAGGGATGATGTAAGCATTTAATCTTGAAAGAATGATCATCTTCTGATGCTGAATAATTATTACCCAAGTCAACTCTTCATGCAGAAGAAGAACCAAACCAGTTTAGGGCAGAAATTCTCTTTACACATATCTGCTTTGGATGGGAATAAGACCTCCAAGCTAGGAGCCTAGAATCCAAAGTTGGCTCATCAAATGAAGGAAGAAGAGTATTTATTGGCTAACCAAATCAAAATCTCTCTAAAGAGAAATGAAGCAGAGTAACACACAAGTGAGTCATCACAGATTCGTCTACACACTATTTAGTAAAGAACGCCATTACTTACTGAAATGTAACCTTGGAACGTGTGCCGCCTTCCAATTTACACGGCCCATCACCTGGCTCAGGTGCTGGGCGGGACGGGCTGTTGAATTCTGCCTCCAGAGTTTTCTTGTTCAAGGCTGTTTTTGTTACACTGGATACAGAACCCAACACTGGCATGGATTTGGACTCTGAGGTGGCTAATATCCCGGTTGGACCTTAAAACCAAACACATACCTCAAGTTTAATAATTCTGCGTGATGCTGATTAATATGGTACTGAAAAACAGATTAGCTGAAAATCCCTAAAGAAGTGAAAAGGCCAAGTTTTGCTAAAATTTCAAGAGCCTGCTGGAAAACGTTCCTATTAGAAATTTGCTCTGCTGTGGTGGTACTACTCAAGGCCCTGGGACCACGCTGAGAAATTGTGTACAGACTTTTAAGAAACCACAAAACCCCAGGCCATGGTTCCCGCACTGACCAGAGTCCTTAAAAGTACTGCAATTGTGAAAACCCTTTTCTTCTCCTAAGTGTGGCTTTCTGACAGCCCTACTTGAACCATGTGGACTCTTAAGAGTTAATTCCTCCCCAAACTCAGCTCTGCATTTTAAACACAAAATGGAACAACGTCAAAAGGCTCTTTTTCAAAGGCTCATGAAGGCTTCTTGAGCATTAAACAGCTTTTATGAACATTTTCATTTTAATGTGATTGAGAAGTAAGTGGATTTATTTCCTGTTAATATAAAGACACGGGATTATAAAAACTAAGTGGCAAAGAGTTTGCTGTTTACCTTTTAGACTTTTCTGCTCTTTGGGACAGGATTAAAAAACTATAACAGGGCTGATAACTGACATTATTGGCATATAAACCTAAAAACTCTAGGCGTTGAAGCTAAGCTCCATCATGACTGACTTTCTATCTTTAGAAAAATACTTTCCTAGGCAGGTCTTTTTTTTACTTTCAAAGCAAGATTCTACTATGTCTTTCTTGACACTTCAAAAGGAATCCTTTTAAAACAAAGAGGTTTATAAAATAAGGCACAAATGTACAAATGACATTAGAACTTCTAAAGATGCAACCAGAGGACAACTTTGAAAAGTGCCAATTAAAAGAGGACAAAACTTGGCATAAACCCTAAGAAACGTCAGACCATCTTCTAAAAAAGAAACTGGTACAAAGTGGGTGCAATCCAAAATGCTAGCTAATCCCTTATCAGCATAAAGCTCTGGAATTCTATTTTTTCACTTGTATATGACTGTGTCTGATTATTACAACAGCATAATCTATCAACTCCAAAAATGAAGTTCTAATTTTTAAAGAAAACCCAAAATCTTTCTATATGGATCTGGAAAATTGTTCAGCCATTCAGCGGGGCACCTCCTTTAGCCTTACTGCATGTGGGAGACACAGATCGCTCCAGTCTGGCTGAAAACTTTGGCTCATGAAGCATCAGCGTCTGTTCTTCCTCATTCATTTCATCTATAGCATCTGGGCAGACAACTTTATGAAATTGAATATTCTGGTTCAAAGGGCCTCTCCCTCCCACTTACGTTAACCCTCATGTTGCATGGAGAAGTGGGAGTAGAGAGAAGAGGGCAGAAAAATCAAGAAAGTAAGTTCCTGAAGCTAGAAACATGAAGTTGAATTCAAGAATAGCTTCAGAGCAGCTCTATTCTGCCCTTGGATAACTGCTGACTATAACACTAGACAGCTTTAAGCAATCTGTCCTTGTAGGAAAGCAAGATCTGTTTCTGAATGTACCCGCGCCTACTGCTTGTTCTGCAACTGAAGCCAATTACAAAGGAGGGAGAGTGGGTGAGCTGGGCCAGAGCTCTTATTTTTCCTGCATACAAAAAGAAATAAAGAAAAATCCATAGTGTGTAAGATTATTATTATTATTATTATTATTATTATTATTATTGCATCCTGTTTAAGTTGCCCAATGTTTTCCAAGAGGCCTCTGCTGCTCTTTGAAGTGTCCGTTTGGTGGGCCACAAGTCTAGGTAAAACGAGGGAGTATCAGGTCCGTAAGAAAAATTCTATAGAAAAAGGTGCTTCACTTGCCCGTGAGGGGGAGACACCAACTAACCTGGGACCTGAGTTCTGCAAACCTCCTGCTGCCTCTGCTTCTCTTAGATGCCCCCTTTCTCTGCTCTGTGACTTCACATTTGGCTTTCACATTTTCACCTTTAGACTTCACATAAGTCCTTGTGTGTGGCAGAAAAAGAATCCCAAAGATTCAAGTGTCCCTGAGGCACAAACCTACCAAACTCATCTCTGTCATTTATTCCCACCATGCAGCTGGCTGCCTTAGCTTCCTACCCCACCCCCAATCCTAAGGAAAAAGAACATTCTTACGGCACCCCTTAGTTCTCCTGAGAGGTAGCTGATAGGGGAGGGGATTCTTATAGGATAGTGACAGGACCATTTCCAAAGTAAAAACTGGTGATTTTTCTAAAGAAGGAAACAAAAGGTTCATCTTTTTATAATAAAGGTTTGGCCGCTATGATGATGTTTCCAGTTTAAGAAACCAATTTACTCAATTGTTTAAGTCTGTGTGTGAAAACCAGCGCGTTTGACTACCAAAAACCCAAACCCTTAATATTTTAGCAACTTCAACTTGATGTAAACATGATGGCAATGCAAATGAAACTGTTAAAATGGGCTAAATTAACTGGACTTGACTGAACTGAGGCTCAATGATGCAGCCTATTAGCTGTGGTTGCTGATAAATTTTACTTTAGTTTTTCAAAGCCAGCCTCCTGGCCTCAAGAAAAAAACCTCAGAAAGGTTTCTGCTAATTCCCATGATCAAGTTGATGGAAAAAAATGAAGACACACAAGATTAGTTTGGGAACAGATTTTGATGTCCAATACATGGCTACCATGACACAAATACAAACTGTGAGCTCAAGACTTGCCCAGATGGTCACAGCTGGTGACAGAGCTGGAATTTCTCATTCACTTGGCTCATAGGCAGACACTATACTAAATGGGTATGCAGAACTATGACGATTTCTCTGCATCTGTAACTGATGTGTAATTACTACTGCACATTGTATGCTGACCTTCTGTCAGGCACAGTGCTAGGCACTTTGCCTATCCTGACTGACTCAATCGGATTATTCTCCTTAGAATAATCCTATGAGGTAGTGCTTTTAGTATCCTAACTTTATAGATGAAGAAACTGAGGCACTGAGAGGTTGGGTGATTTGTGTAAGAGGCAGCAGCTAGTAAATGGCAGAGCGAGGATTCGAACTCACACTGTGTGGTTCTAGCCTGTATTCAATGCTACGCTGTTGTCAAAGCCCATCCTGAACATCTTTACACAAGGGCATCTTGCATTAAGCAAAGCAGATCTATAGAACCCTGAGTACCTACAAATAAACAGATACACCAATAAATAAAAATAACGTAAGCGTTCTTATGAGAGAGCCCTAAGTATCTTTGACCATCCAATACTTCTCATTCACATTAAAAAAATTTAACAATCATTTTAAAAAGATAGTTTCATGTTAAAAAGGGACTTAAAGGAAGATGCTTCAGAGAGGAAGAGGAGAGCCGCGGAGAAGACAAACCAGCTTACTACTGCTATCTGCTTCTGCTGTCACCTTTCTGCGACGCAAAATCCTTTCTAACTCAGTTTCACTGCTTTCAGTGTAGTGAAGGGATTTTAAGCTTCTTGAACTAGTGGATTTGTTAAGTGTCCCCTAAAGTGAAAACAAAACAAAAACAAAAAGGTTAATGGCTTAATACAATATACAAAATATAAAAAATCAAACCACCAAAACATTACCAGAATTTGAATGGAATTACAAAACAAAATGAACTTTACATGTACACATATGTTTTTAATGTGCATATCTTCAACAGCATATAGCAGATCATCGAAGAAGATGCTACTGATGATGGAAGATGTTAGCTATCATGTCAAAGGAACAGTACAAGAACACTCTTGATGAGCTAACTGTATGAAGTTCAGGGGCGGGAAGGTACCTGCACCTCCTGCACATTGATGATTAAAGATTCTGACATGTGTTGATCGGTCGCGTGGAGAAGAGAACAGACATACCGAACTCACCTTAGAAGGTTATCTTGATGTGGCAGCCACAAGCTAAAGAACCAAAATCCTTGTGGCACTAAAAAAATGTGTGGCTGATTCTTCAGCGAGAATGACCTGGCCTGCACAACAGGCGACAATGGTGCCATGGCTGCCAGAGGAGGCACATAACACTCTCCAGTGGCCTACCCAGGCACGTGCTGCCCCGAGCACAGCGTGGCTTCTTCGTGAAAGAGGAAAGGTTAGACCCTAGCAGGGAAGCCAGGGAGGGCCCAGCACCGGAACTCCAGAATCCTAGCAGTGGGGGTAGCAGACGTGTGTCATTCAGGGCCCAGAAGATACCGAAGGAAACAAGAGATGCCACAAAGCTGTGCTCCTGCTGAAACTGGTACTGACCTTCAAGACGACAGAGAAGGAAGACCCGGGCTGAGGTTGCCTGCCCTGGCTACTCTAGAATATGTGCTTTGGAGGGAGAGGTAGGGCTTGCCACCTCTGTTACAAGTGTTTGAAAAGAACACTCACTGAGGCACTTCTCACGTGCACGGACTTGGTACTCCACTGCTATGCACAGTCCACTTTCTTTCATAAGAAATGAACACTGTTTCTTTGAAATGTCCTCCTCACCTGTGCCACAGACTTGGGGAGAAACAAAGCCAGGAGAACCACAGTATTTTGATCAGAGCAAATCAGAACCTCAAGTCTGGTACAACTTGCCTGACTTCGTATTAAGAGTAAGGAGGCAGCCTTTGTCCACTAAGACCAACCACCAGGCCAGCCTGCGTCATTTCTGAGCTCAGTACAGGCCTGCCTCAATCCTGCGCCTTGTTCCCTGCTAACTTCCTGAGGATTCTGGCTAAGTATGATAACTCATGTTTCTTCTTTAGCCTATAAAACAAAAACGTTTGTAAAAGCAAGTGATTATAAATCTCATATGACACAGGCTGATATGATGTTTTGTTTAGAAAGGGGTTTCCCCCCCTAGCAACGTAGTTACAGAAAAGCAGCCTGCTGTCAGGGAGGACTTGACTAACAAGATTAGGAGATTATTTTTTTCTCCTGTCAGGCGCCTAACCAAGCCTAACCAAGCCTAACCAAACCTAACCAAGCCTAACCAAGCCCGACGTGTAACATGCTTAGGGAAGGCTCAGAATTCAGTCAAGCATACACGGCTGCTAATTCCCACCCCAAAGTACATCTTCCTGCTTTTCATTTATTGCAAATATTCATAAAATATACTCAAAGGAAAACCACGTTATACGTAACACTATAACAGCTCGTTTTATAATTGAAAAATTATTTGATTTATTTGTCAGTTAACAAGCAGATCTGTATCTATTCATCTAAGAGTTATATCCTAAGATAGGATAAACACTGATAAGATGAAGAAAACAGAACTAAAGCCAATTTAGACTAATTTTAAAAAATGTACTAGAAAAGCTATTTTCACATCATTTGTGTTTATAGTTTTTAAAAACTTACCAGCTGTATCATATATAAACAGATATTTTTAAAAGGTATGGCTATTTTTATTCAAACAATTCATAAAACTAGCACTACATTGTTTGAATATCAAGGACATTCTGTGTGATTTTCCCAATGGCTGGAGTCAATGAATATCTTTAATTGAAGGATTTATCTTTCACAATATTCTCCATTTTTCATTTAGACAACAGCATTATTTTCCTAAGTTCCTGACTGTGGTGAATAACCCGCTCTTTATACCTGATTTGAATCCTTGAATCCCACACGTGTTCTCCACTCACTGACTGATACCGTTGATTAAGCTAATATATATATAAGTAAACTTTAAACATGGAGGCAATTATGAAAGAGAGGTTCTGCATGACTCTTGACTGAAATGATAAAGGGCTCAGCTAATAAAGTACCACAATTATCTTAATTATCTATTTGTATTATAATCACAGATTTTTGAACCAGAAATTAGCTGAGGAACCATGTGGCATATACAATTACCTCACCTAAAAGAGGAGAGCGCCTGGGGGCTTGACCTTGAACTTGGCTCTTCTAATCCCCAAATCAATATTCTATTCCTATATCAAACCACTTTGACCATGTAACAATATTAGTCCCCATGTTAGTTAAATGTTCGTAAAACTGAGCAATCAAATTGTCAGGTGGCAAAAGTAACTGTTCGACAATTTCGGGGCACTTTGAAAAACTAAAGATGTTTGAGGAAGACCTGTAAGAGAATTTTGTCAAATGTCATTTTTGCTTCTTTGATTTAGAGGCAACTGAACTTGAAAAGAGGCTTTTAGATTAATTTATATTGGTTTATTCTTCAGAAATTGCCATTTCCACTTCGAGTGACTTCTAAATGAACTGGAAGACTCAAGACGTTTCTAACAGTTCAAAATCCTTGTGTGACAACAAGAAATGAACTATATATTTTAAAATTTATAATATGCAGGTTTTTAAAATCAAGTATAAATAGGCTTAGAAAAATGAGTTCAATCAACATGGAGACTTCAAAAATTGATTTGAGAGCTGTGCAACCCAAAATACAGTGGAGTTTTCCCAGCCAGGGCTTTGTTTTCTACCCGGGTGCTAACTTCCAGCCTTCGGCCAAACCTCTAGGTCCTGGGGGTCCTTTGCAGCTCAGGTCGCACCTCACTCCCTGCAGCAAGCACACCCCACACCGAGTTTCCCCCTGGCTCCGCTCCACAGTGGAGCTGACCAGGCTGTTTCTTGGTTTCCTGGCACCTCCGGTGCGGACGCTCACCTCCTATCTCGGTACAACCTGCAGGCTTTTCATGTTTTTCATGTTTGTCTCTCATGCCTCACAATTGTGAGGCTGGTGTCATGTGCTCTGCTGGGTACTGAATCTGGTAATCCTAATAGTCTGAATTCCAGCAAAAAAAACTAACAGAGCCCATCCAATAGGGGGCCTCCTGTTTCTCCCTCTTGCAAGAAGTTCTATGGCCTCTTGGCCCCAGGTGACAAGTGATACACCCCTGCAAAGGGACTTCTGTGGGGAAAGCGGAGAGTTGCCATTTGGCAAAGAAGAGTAGGGGAGGACACTGTGAGTTCCTCTTGTTAAAAAAAAGGGGGGACACTTAATGCAAAGGAAGAATATCGTCAGAATAACAGTTATAATGATATATCAATGCCAGATAAGGCAGAGAAATCGAATGATAAATCCAGGACAAGGAGGACGGGGACAATCGACAGGGGAAAAAAGATGTTTTGACAATTTTTATAATTTGTAAATTATTTTACAAAAATCTATTGCAAAAATTTCTTTCCCTGAAGTGGCACAAAATGATGGTGAATAGGGTTGCACAGTGCTGGCGACGTTCCAGAGCAGTGCCGCAACCAGGGAACTCACTGCCGTCGGCCCTACAGGGAGTGGCACAGCCTGGGCAGCCAATTCCACAGGCCTCTTACGGAGATGCCTGACTTTTCAAATAAACCCAATTTTAAAGAGTCACACTCGGTACAGTTGACTATTGCACTGACGATCAGAACTATGCTCTAGAATCTCATGACACCCCTGGGGACGTTGTCTTGAACAGCAATTAGCACTATAATGTAGGGACAACAAAAGGGACTGTCACTGGGTGACAAAATTTTCTCCTCAAAGAGTCCATTAGATAATAGTCACCTACTTGTTTCCAATGGTTTCAAAACTTTACTCTGTAGGCAGACCAGTACTGTTGGCCACTGCTTTACCTCTCTCGTACTAATTTCGCTCACCCAAAACTAAAGCTAACTAATTGAGCCATTCTGAGTTAAGTGTGCTGTTTCATGCTTGATGAAAATAATTTTGTTTACCACAATTATGGGGATGTCTACACGCAACGCGTAATTAGCACAGTAACAACAAACATGGGCATATTAGCGCTGTACCTCCGCCCCCGTGTTTGTTGACTTACTGTGCATAATGACTGGCGCCGAGGCAGGAACCGGCTCTGAGAACAGGCGCTCAGCATCTGAAGCACTTCCTAAGCGCGGCGTCTGTCTCTGAGAGCCACTGTCCAACAGGGCAGCACTCATTTGCTCCGCTGGCAAAAGCTCGTTACTTTGGAAAGGAGAAATGTAGCTAGACGTGGGCATTCACTGTGTTCACCAACGGGTGGGAATCACTCTTAGAAAATGAAATCAGTAACATAAAGAAAGGGACTTTTATTTTAGTCTCCAATTTATCATCCAATAACCTTTGACTCTGTGAGGAAGAGCAGACTGCCCCTGATGCTAACTTGTGGGTATGGGCTCAGGTTTACATTTAGGGGCCAAGAAAGCCACTTTCGTGCCACAAAGTTAAGCACTAGCCATGTGAGGGACTCTACTGTATTTGTTATTAATAAGCACATACCAATTCTCACACTTGGCCAGACATTTCGTCTCCACGCTGTAATGCAAGGAGTGGAGGGCAGGAACAAGAAACCAGGATTTTGGTGCAAGTGTAACCATTCTTTTAGAATAGAAACAGCAGAGCATTGATACATTAACAACACACCTGAGGGGGAGTCCATAACACAACCAAGTAAACTATCAAAAGAAAGGAGGCTACTGTATGGAAATAAAACATATCAAACCAATTATTCATAAAAATCAATTTCAAAAACATTCTCCTTTCATTTTCCCATTAAATGAATAATAAACTGAGTTCTATTCTTACCAGTATTCCTTTTAATTCATTCACTGCACTCTCAGAGCCTTTGGAAGATTCTGGCTACAATTAAAAAACACAATTTACTGAGTAATTCATTTTTAATATGCTGAACAAACATTTCACATGACAAAGTGCTTATAGCTTATATTCACTATTTTTTTAATTAGGCCAATGTCTTACCATTAGAAAAAAATATTAGACAGGTTAGTGCTCCCAAGCGGCAGTTAAGTAGAAAATTAGAAGTAATATGCAAAGCAAAAGGACTCAAGCCACTATATTCTAAATATCATTTTGTTTCTTACTTGTTATTATACATAGAAAAATGAACTGGTAAACACCAGACTTCAAAGACTTAATTTCAAATTATTTCTAATTTTTTACACTACGCTTCTCCCCTCGCACTGCGGGACTCCTGCCGGCAAGTGAGGATGAGGAAGGCTGCGGAGCAGGGAGCAAGCAACAGGGCAGAAAACCTCTCTCAGCTCCGTTAGCTCCAGGCGCAAGCCAGGCACAGAGGACAGGCCCTCTCCGCGCCGGGAATTTCACAGCAGGGCTGAGTCGGGAGCAGGGACCAGCAAAGAGCCCGGCTCACAAGCCAACGTCAGCATCCCTGCTATCAAAGCAGTAAAAGCCCTGAGAGGGTGCGTGGCCCCTGAGGACAGTTACACCTGGAGGAAGGGTGTACTGGAGTCACTGCCTTGATTACAGGCCCAGTTCTCTTCTGGCTACACCATGAGCAAAACAATCTGAAATGAAGTTCTGGGTAATGTTTACCGGCCCCACAGCACCCCACAGGCTCTGGATCCCTCCCGTAAATAACGTGGAACTGTTGGGAGAGGACCTCATGAAAAAGATCAAAAAAAGACCTCTCATCTCCCCTGTACTTCTTCCTTTCACAAAGGATAGAGATGAAGGGAAATCTGCAAGATGGTGAAAGGACCCCCACGAGGCCTTGCATCTGGGGAAAGAGCTGAGGCTCATTCTCTCTCATCAAGAAATGGGGACGGGGGTTGATTCATAGTAACCCCCCCCTTCTATAATTCTTTCTTCTCAAAAGGTAATAAAGAATGAGACCCCCTTCCAAATTTTAAAAATGGACAATAACAGAAAAGCTAGAAAGAGACACAGACAGAGGAGGAAGGAGAGAGAGGTTTGCTGCTCATATACAAATCAGACTTAAGGCATTCAGCTTCCTGAGCCCAGGTTTTCTGTGAAATATTACATGCCACCAGTGCCAGTCTAAAGCTCTAATACACTAATTTTAACCACACCAGCACTGCCAACAACATCAAGGAATCGAGAAAATTCACAGTGCAATTAGTATTCTCAAAGCAGGCTTGACTTCTGCAGGTGACAAGCTGTGACTTTTGAACGAACGATGCAGCCAAAGGCACAGTCCAAAGTGCTGCCATGCCACGCACGGAAGCTGCCGCCTCTGGCTGCAGGAGCCCTTGCAGCCCAGGCCACACACTCTCATTCTTGGGACGTTCCTGGAAAGCCCCAATGTTATTGTACTCGGGCAGACAATGGCCACTTGTTTTAAACGTGACTGACCGGGTCATTCAGCGCTACCTCTACATAGATTAATGATTACCAGTGAAAAACCCACTCGTCCACTGATCCTTGTTCAGCTGTCTTCCAGATTTTGAACTGACATTAAATAATGTGGAACTGTTGGGAGAGTACATACGGAACATTGATTACTTATGACTTAACAAGTTCTCAGCATTTTTTCTTTCTAAACTGAACTTTGCTTCTTAATAACACTCCTTTTTTTCTTTAGTAATAGCATGGTTTTGCTTATAGCATGGTCTTTCCAATACAGTTGTGGCATGAAAGTCCTAAGAACATATTCTTCTCAAAGGTTCCACTTAGGCCCTGCATCTTAAAGCGTTTCCACGCTTTACTCCATCCGATCGCAACAACGACCCTCTGAGTGGGCAGGGCAGGTGCTATTGCCACTTTGGGAGAATCAGCCCGGGCAGCTGGGAGCACATGAAGGCCCCAGCTCCGACCACAGTGCTCCGCTCTCAGGGCCCAGACACCGGCACCGAGACGGCTGTGCCACCCCGTCTCCACCCTCAGCCTCTGGTCCTGCTCGACATTCTGCCCCTGACCTAGAAAGCTGCTTCCACAGCACGAGCACAAGACTGAACTACTCCTCATGGTCACCCAAGGCTTCCATCTATTAGATGTCAATCTGCCCTGCAGCTGAGTTTTCTGTCCACCCTTCCAACCCCCTTTCCGTGGACAGCCCAACCCACGGCCATTCCTGCCTGGCCTGGCTACCTTGCCTGCCTGTGACAAAGCGGCAACTTTCAAAGCCCCGCAGAATTTGTACTGAACAGTGTTGATGCCTGGGCACAGGGAGCAGCAGAAGAGGGGCATCCTTGAGAGTAAAAAAGAAAACAAAGTTTGTTTTCAAAGTAGAAGAAAGAGAACCGATCTCTTGACCCCTTACTAAAGTGAAAAAAGAAAAATATTTTTTAAGAAATATGTCAAAAAACTCTATTTTGGGGTCTCCTGCAATGGACCAGGCACACAAAGGGACAAGAGAAGCACTGAGCTAGACTCTAAGTGCTTCAATAAATCCTGGCGCTCACTGGGGTCTTAAAGTTGGGATGACAATGCAACTTATATATGATACACATAGGCACAAAATTTTCCCCTTGAAGTGACCTGGAACAGGTTTGTCAAAATGATCATATAAATCTCATTCTTTCTCAAAAGTCGTCTTAGGTCTTCTGTGGCATTATCATGTGACTCCTTACCCCCAGTCCTCCTGCACCGCCCCCCACGCCCGCAATACACACACAAAAGTAGAAGCCTCAGGAAGGCAAGAATGTGTGTCTCTCCTGTTTCCTGCTTTATCCTCAGTCCCTAAAACAGTACTTGGCACATAGTAGATACTCAGTAAATACTTGTCAAATTACATAAAAGAACCAGCAATTAAAGAAAAGAAACCATGTAATAGTTGTGATTTGTTTGGTGTAACAGTTCACATCAGTGTCTCCGTCAAGCTGATGACAGCACCTGCAACAGCAGGACTTAGTTTCTATGGTGATTTAGGTCGCCTATGAGCCAAGTAGAGTTGTCCTGAAACGTGCTTATGGAAATAAAGGCTTTTACGACACATTAGCCTTATCCTAAGATTTGACAGTTGGTCCGGATACAGCTTGCATCACACTTCGAAATTTCACATTTGAAAAAAGGAACATCACGGAAGAGAAAAAAGCATTTAGTCTTTGCATACCTGGGCCTTGGGTCTAGCTGTCTGATTAACCGGTCTAAGGTGAACTCCCTTTTTAATTCTGTCCATCATCTCTTCGACTGCTTGCCTCTTCAGATCTGTGACCTCTTCAGCTATTCAAAGAACATACACATCTTAGAAAGACTGCACTATGTAATTAACCGTAGTCATTTTTCAAACGAAGTCACAAAACACCAATAATTTAAGGTTAACAGCTACCAGGTAGCAACATAGTTTTCATAAAAATCTTTTAATAAACAACCTGCTTTGAAAAATGAGAGTTATAAATTTTAAAGTCTAATTTATAGCCTGGAAATCAATACCAGCTCATCTATGTTAAACAATTAAAATAGATTTTGTTCCTTCTGTCCACAGAATGAATTTCTATAGATTTTTAAAAACCCAACTTTGGCCCTGGCGGAGTAGCTCAGTTGATTAGAGCGCTGTCCCAATATGCCAAGGCTGTGGTTTCAATCCCTGGTAAGGGCACATACAAGAATCAACCAACGAATGCATGGATGGGTGGAGAAGTTGATATTGCTCTCTCTCTCTCTTTCTCTCTCTAAAAATCAATTTAAAAACAAATAAAATAAAAAAATAAAAATAAAAACCCAACTTTATAACTAGCCTCAAATAATCATTCATCTTTGTCTCACAAGTATTTTGTAAGTTATAGTACATCATATGCCAAGGAAATCAGCCCAAAGACGGAATAACTATCAAAAGCCCACTGGAAAATAAAAGATCAAAAAAGGTTCTTTTACTTATTGAAAGCAATTCAGTCAAAAGATGAGCAGCAAATAGATAAAATCCATTTTGAAATTGCCATCTTTTGTTTAGGAAGCACAGGGGAAGGAAACGTTTAAGCAAACCTTTTTCAAGTCTTAAAATTGTCAATGTTAAAAAAATACATCTAGAAATGACTGTAATTAAGTATTTAAGTTTGATTTAAAAATTTTAACTGTCTATTGTCTAACCTTTGCGCTATTTTGCTGCAAAAACAATAAAGCTGTTGAACTATGTATCAGTTAGATGCATGCCACTGTGGTGAGTATCAGCCTGTTGCGCAGAATACAGAGATTTGTCTCATTTGCAGAATATCTTGACTAAAAGCACTGAATCATATTTTGAATACTTATGACTATTAATGCAGTTCTAGATCTTGTGTTTACCTCCATGGAACTCACTGAAGCCAATATACTTAAGTTTAACTATCTCATAAAGACCTTCCAATCAGCATCTTTAATGAGACTCCACATGGTGAGGCACATCACAACTATTCAACTAGTTACCTGCCTACTGACAGATCTGTAAAGTTCTAGTTTTACATGGCTTGAATATTTTTCTTATTTGAGCAGAAATAACTCAGCTCCAAAAGGATGACTTCCAAATGGAGGCAATCACAACTGCATCTCCAAGCCACGTCACGTAGAGGCAGGCTTTGCCCTGAGAAGGCCTACATCATGGCTTCCTCGTCTGCTACGTTGCCGGCACCCACTGACCCTGGGCAGTCACTCTGCTAAAATCCGTGCCCAGGGGGGCCGCTCAGCCCAGATGGTGCCGTCACCTCCCCTCTGCGAGCACCACCGTGAGGGGACCACCGCTACATTCACTGCACACCCCGGCTTGCTCATACGGTCCTGACTTCAAGTGTGTTCTGTCATCCTCACCAGCCACTGAAAAGCTGGGACTTGAAACATCCAAACAGCACTTTTCATACCCAGAAGTCAAAAAAAACCAAAACAGAACCAAAAAACCTTTTGCCAGGCAATGTGGGGAAAATGGCACCAAAGTCAGAAAAGGAAAAAGGACAAAACTGTGGGTTGACCCACTATGTGCCCTAAGTAGCATTTTCGCGGGCAGCTTCTGTTGATGATCCACAAACATCAACATGGGGCCAGACAAGAAAATTACTATGGATAGAAATTCATTCACTCACTCACTCACTCACTCAATATCTGAATACCTAAAGAATGTGCTACACAGTGCTCTTGCTGACCCTATTCAAAACCAAAAGAGACAGAATCCAGACCTGCCATTCAAGCACCTGCTCTCAGTGTGGAATTTCTTCCTGGGAATTTAAAATCTTCAAAAAAAAAAAAAAATCATCTCATGTTCAAGAAGGCTGCCATTTTGAGACTTGGGGAGACTTGGGAAGAGCTGCATAGCAACAGGAACAGAGCCTACAGACAGATTAGCGCTCCAAGGAGTGACTGAAACCCAATTAAATGCACCATACAAAACTACTTAAGGCAGACAGATGGAGAATTATGGTCAACATTCAAATCTGCTGCAGCATCTAACATAGCAGGAATTTAAAGTAGTTTTTTATTTTTGCTTGCCAGATTCACAGCGATAATTCAGAGAAGCGCCACTATCAGTACTCTGTACAGATTTTAACCAGGCTTTAATTTCTCGGTCTTTTTCAAATGTAAAGGCTTAATTGGTCTAAAGGAAAAGAAATCACTCTTACCAGATTCCCTACTCAGGCACAATACGAGGGCAACACCAGGTTAGCTACACAAGCTTTCTTTCTCCCTGACCCTGTTTTTGAACCAGCAAAAAGCAATCTATACGGACTTCTAAACTATTAAGTAGTTCTAATAAATCTGCAAGAATCGCCTAGGGAGAGCTCATGGTATGTTTTGTAATTCTTTCTGCCATCATGCAGCTGGTAATTGTCTCACAAAGGCATGTAATCAGGGGGACAATAGAAATATGCAGGATACTGGAGATTAAAGAAAAGGGACAAATGAAGACAACAGGTCTAATGTTATTGAACTGCCACAGGAAAATAAAATCAAATGTTCTTTGAGTTAGTGCTTCGAGGTCAGTCTTGGATCAGAAAGCTACATGTTATTAATTGAGGCTTAAATTTTAAGACCCACTTGAAAAATAAGTTAATTCCTTTAAAAAAAGGAAAGAAAGAAAAAGACTCACAGACAAAACCATCACCCTGTTACTCAATAAAGCCTTTTGTTATTACCTAGAAGAAACTAAAATAAACGTTTAATGCCACAGGATTACTTTTCTCTTTCACTTATATTTTTAAAGGGCATTTAAAAAGTCTTACGCCACTATGATACACACATTTTCTAAAAAAGACATCATGGTTGAGTAAGTCGGAATCTGACCTCAGATCATCAAGTTAAAGAAATTTCCTTACGAGATCACAAGAGTCTGATGAATGAGGATGCCTGCCCTCCAAAGGGTAGTTAGGGCCTTGTATATATATTTTTTTAAACTAACATTTTAGGTATTTTCTATGTGCTAAGTACTATCTTAAATGCTTTACATGTTACCCATTAATTCTCACAACAACCCTATAAAATAGAAACTACTATTATCCCCATACTACAGATTAGTAAACTGAAGTAAGAAAATATCAATAAATTAATGACCTAAATATATGAAATCTCAGAACATGTTCAATAACTGCATAGTTATCAAAATTAGTTTAACTTCAAAGTCTGTAATGATGTCTTATATTTAAACCTTAGACCAACTGTAATATTCCACAGACTTTTCCTACAATCAAGTGTTTTTAAGAACCATAATCTACCAACAAGTTTCTCCATTCATAAGCCCTGAAAGGCCTACCAACTGAATAGGAAAGCCACCAAAAGGTGTTCACATAAGAAAATGCTGTGATAGCAAGGCTGCTCCCTTCATTTTAAATGCAAACTCCAAGTGTCACAGAGGAGCCCGATGTTTCATGTATATACATTCATTTACCATGCATTTAATCACTGTTGATGTATTCATTCAACAACTATTTTGTAGTGTGAACTATTAACAAGACATGATAAATAACTACCAGGCCAGACAGACAGGCTGCAGCCGCGTGTGGCCACGGTACACACCCTTTAAGGCACTGTGACTTCAGAGGGGCTCCGGTTTAAAGTCTCACGAGCAACTTTTGTGTCAGTTGCTCAGATCCCCACAGTGCAGTGCAACAGCTCACGGGTAAGGGCGAAAATGCCACATTGCATGAACTGCAAATGAAACATCCTTTTCACTGGGAAAAGTATGGTTTCTAACACCGGGGGTGAATCAGTTCTAGAATGCTGCTCTTCAATTTAAGGGTGCTGTCCAGGTTGACAAGCTAATAATTTAGTTTACTTCGAAGGGGAAATCATTCTGTTCTGACCGCCCTCCTGACCCTCCCAGACTTGGCAATTGTCCCCAAACAAGACTGAACAATTTTAATTCCAGGGTCAGGAAAGGTGTATAGCCAGGAACCAGGGAGCAAGGCAGTCCTGCAAATCACCAAAGGCAGGGCTTTTTCTGGGCCCTGCAATGCCCTGTGCAAAGCAGAATCTGCCTTTCGGTGGCATTACTATGCAGAGCAATACACGCAAAGGGCTGCAGGAATCAGGCACAGAAAGTTGATTCACATGTGTGAAATCAAACAGCTTTCGTCTGTGACGGTTGTGAGGTTCTTGCTACAGAAGAAAAGACTAAGTCTAAACTTGGATCCATTCAATCTGCACAAAAACTGTGGGAGGCTGCAGAGAGGAGTAAGCCCTCCAGAGATGTGGGAATAACTGGATCATCAGAGCAGGAACCAGGAGGATGGGGGGGTGGGGGCGGTGAGAAGAAGATAAAATCTTTACAGTAACAACATCTGCAGCAAAACACTTGAGCAGCACAAGAGTGGTGCACCACTCATTTTGGATTATTGATACGAACACTAATAAATAAAAAGAAGAGGCAGGAAGAGTCTGGAACACACAGATGATATGTCTGGAGCCTACACTGGAGAGATGGCAATTAGAACAACACCCCCGCCTAAGAAAGTTTTGACGAGAGGGTGGGCAAGCGGGCAATTCCGGAATGAGGAATAACAGGAGCGAGTGCAGAGGGCGCTGGTGGAAACGGGCCAGCCACAGATGGGAGAGGTGTAATGAGACACGGCTGATGTAAAAGCAGAGAACCATCTACGAGCCGACTCTGATAGAGTTTGGATTCTATTCTGAGGCGGTGAGAAGCGCAGAACAAAGGACAATGGGATGACACCTACGACACCGCCAATGACAGGAAAATGCCTGGACTGCAGAGGAAACCTGCAGGCAGGGAGAGGGAACCAAGAAGTTTACACGAGTCTGGTTCTGAACCGGGCAAATCTACCACGCTTGGTAACTAAGAGGCGCTGAGCACACGTTGCTGGGTTTAATTCGGGTGCTACAGTTCTCAGGCACAAGGCCCCAGCTCCGGCCCCAGCAGACCAGAGTTCTGCTCTCCCTGCGGCTGCTCCCCGAGCTGCCCACGGTGCTGTGGACCGACTCGGCACCTACTCGCCCAGTGCCCTGCTCAACAGCAAAGCCTTTCTCCCTCCGTTCTCTTCTCTTCTCGCTGTCTTTAGCATCTCCCTCTCCAGAAAATCACAGGCTCCTGTAAGTTTTACCTCCCTGAAGAGCTCCTGAATTCCTCCATTCCCTTCCGCCTCTACTGCTGCCACCCTGGTGGGAGCTGCCACGGACACTGATCTGATGCTGCGACCGTCTTCCCTTAGCCACTCACTCCTTCACAGCCTGCTCTCTCTCCTCTCACTGCAGCAGGTGTGATTTAAAAAAAAAAAAAAAAAATCTCATCTAGCTACACCCCTACTTAAAACTTCGACTGCCCTTAGGTTAAGTTTCAAAATTTGACCATAGCCTCCAGAGTATAGCTCCCGCCTCTCTGCCAGACCTCATCCCTTGCACCTCATGTTCTAGTAACATCAACTTTCAGTTTCCTCATACGCCAATCTCCTCCCCCACTCTGGACCTTCCAATCTGCTGCCTCTCTGCGTGAACTACTTTCATGCTAAATCCCCTCCCCTGGACTTTCTAAATCCGCAATGACTCAGTTTGCACAGGGCTGACACCAGCAGCCTTCCCGAATGCGCTCTTAGAAATGTATTCTCCTCCTCCACAGCCCTGATCAAAAACTACATTTAAATAATTATATGTTTAATTGGATAGTCAGTTTTCTTCCTGTCTCCCCCACTCAAGTGCAAATTCTATGTCCTGCATCTCCAGCGCACAGCACTGAGTGGTACATACTAGGTGCTTGATAAAAGTCCCAGTCCACCTGCTCTCAGGTCTGCAAAGCTTCTCTCCAAGTCCTTCACCTGGAATTACTGCCTCCCTTACTTTATACCCCAAAGTACCTTAATCACACGTCTTAGCATATTTCACTGTACAGTGATGTGCGTGCATGCTAATCTGCTCTAGACCAGTGATTTTCAAATGGTGTGCTGCAGAATTGTAGTAATCTGTGCATGTGTGCCATGAGGTGAAAAAGGTTGAAAACTGCCGCTCTAGACAATAAGACACATGAAAGCAATGCCTGTTATCTGGTTCATTCTTATAGCTGTCAAGTTCACATTTCTCCCCCCACAACCTGTTCACAAAGACATAAACAAATTTGTGTGCTGTTAAAATATTGCACACCATCAACCACTGAGAGTAAAGCAAGGCGGGGCGAGAATTACTTGTTTCTGGTTGAGCTGCCTTTTCTTTCTTAGCACCACTGCCGCTGGGGTGGGACCGCTTCCGGATCATGGACATGAGGGATCTTTGGGAGAAAGAAAAAAGTTGACAGGAGATTACTGGAGGCCTTACGATCCAAGAAATAACATGAATATATGCTCAAGAATCAGTAAATACCCAACTCTTAGGCGCACGAATGCCCAAGTAGAATTTAAGTAGCCTACTTTCCACTTTTAATAAATTATCGAACTTTTCATCTCTTTAAGGTAGAGAAAGGTGACTCACCACTTTGTGTGCAACCAAACCCACCGAAAGACGGGACCGCTATCATTACCAATACAATACATAGACATTTACCCCGTAAAACACAAAAAGAAAAAATTTCAATATCCATACCTAAAATTCAGAAAAGCTCTCTAGGTAAGATATTTGAGGGAGAGGGAAGGATGAAAGAATTAGAAGATATTCTCAGTAAATATCTGTTTGTGAAATACAGGCATAAAATAACCTGAATCTGTGACCCAGACAAGATACGTAAGAGACAAAATGTATTTAGAGCACTGTCTCTCTAGTACATGTTTTTAAAATCTGCATAAAATGCAAATAATGATAAATTTGACATTAACATTTTAAAACCTATATTTTAAAACATATATTAAAAGACACCATAAAAAATAAAAAGGAAGTCTACAAATCAATGAAAAAAAAGCAGATAACCTAACAGAAAAATGGACAAAACTCTTGCAACTCCATAAAAAACATTCTAAATTTCCAATACGCATACCAAAAAGGTACTTAACTTCATTAGTTATTAGAAAACACAAATGAAACCCTCACTGAGCTATTACTCCAAACTCATAAAGTAGGTAAGAAATTTTAAGTCTGATAATAGCAAGTGTTGGTAGGTTTGTAGAATAACAGCAATTCTCAAACTAAAGGCGGCGTGTAAATTGACAGACCACTTTAGAAAACCGGTATGATCTAGTGGAGGTGAAGATACCCATATCCTCTGAGTCAATGATTCCACTTCTATATTCTTACAGAAATACAAGCACCGGTGCACCAGGACTCATGTACAAGAATGTTCATGTACGCACTAATGCAGACAAGAGTGTGGTGTGGCCAGAGGGAACCGGGGGTGGGGGCGGCCAGAACGGGGTATCTGGGACCAATAACCCAAACCGCCATCTAAAATCTCCCCATCCACAGTCACTTTAATTGAATGCATAAAACCTCCAAGCAGGTGTCCTCCACAGATGAAACAGTTCAATGGAATATATTCACCTTGGAATTCTGTAAGAAGTGTTCCTCACACCCACTGTGATGTTTAGTGAGTGAACTTGACTGGGTCATAGGGTACTCAGGTATATGGTCAAGCATGTCTGCGTGTTTCTGTAAGGATTCTGAAGATTAACATTTAAGCTGGTCATCTCAGTAAAGCAGACTGCCCTCCGTCAGGTGCGTGGGCCTCATCCAATCAGCGGAAGGCCTGAGGAGAACGAAAGAGTAGCCCTTCCCCAAGTACAAAAGAACGCCACCTTCCTGACTGCCTTGAAAGTAGGACATCTGTTTTCTCCGCTTTCAGACCCAGGCTGAACACTGCCTCTTCCTGGGTCGTGAGCCCGCTGACCTACAGGCTAAAACCATACCACAGGCCCTTCTTGGTCTCCAGTTTGCTGACTCACCCTGCAGATCCGGGGTCTTGCCTGAGACCATGATAATAATGTGAGCCAATTCTTTCGAATAAGTCTCTCTTTATGTATATGTATATCGTTTATGTACATATGCGCACACATACCCTATCGGTCGTTTCTCTAGAGAACTCCAACGAATACCCTAATACAACCTACCCTTTCCCCATGAGCCACACTTTCCCAGGACCTGTCCCAATTTCATTACCACCAGTATAAAATGACCAAAGTAGGCCTTTTCCTCTCTTTCCTCTCTCTCACCTGGCCCCTCAGTCAAATGAGCAGGAATACGAGGGGAAAGCAATAAAGCCACTTAACGTGGTCACAGGCCCTAGTCTTTGTTTTTCCCTGCTTTCATTTCTACCCCTGATCTACATCAGGGTAAAGCAAATGACTCAGGAAGAAGGTTGGGAAATCTTGATTAATGGATTCAAAGTGCACTGAAAAATCAATACGCATGCAAATATATTTGTTTGACAAGCACATTCTCCTTACCAAAAAAATCCAAACAAACCACAACTCTTTCTACTGAGAAATTATGTCTTATACTATTTAAATCCATCTTAAAATAAAATCATTCATGTTATTCAATGAATTTTCTTTAAAGGGCCTTATGAAAGAATTCATGCTTTAGACATATGGTCTGAATCCTACATTCTTTTCTCAACTGTAAAGGGCTCTTTGGGAAAATAGTCTATTTAGGTTATTCTTTAATTTGAAGGGCTCTTGAAATTTCTGAAACTAAAAATTAAAGGCCAACAGCAAGACTATAATCACTTTTTAATAATTCTCCCTCCTCATAGACAGAAATGACCTTTCTTATCAGCTCAAAACTCCAGACCTTAGAGAAAGATCAAAGTGATGAATTTCCTATTTTAAATGTCAAATTCGGAATATCTCCATCTCCTACAGATTTAGCAACCCAGGAGAGAAAGATTTTAAAATACCTGAAATTCTTTCAATTGACTCTTGGATCGATCACGTGTAAAAATTATTTTGCTTTAACTACTTCAGTGGCTTAAAGTAGATTGTCATATCCTACTCAGTAAGGAAAACTAATGAGAATTTTTTTAAGGGCAAAGTCCCATTTTTATAGCCACATGGGGGGAACATGCTACGCATTCTATTCCAATGGATCAGCAAAAGTACCAAGTTCGAATAAATGGCTTCTCTGTGTGAAAGGATTAAACAAATCACATGAGTTAATGAAAGGTAAAATGTAGTGAATTTTTAAATTCTACTTGTTTAAGAAGAACTTATACAGAAGGAGCTCACATCATGACATGAGGAAGTAAGCTGCCACCACAGCTTGTAGCTCGTCTTACAGAATTCTGCCGGGAGGAATGAAGAGCCAAAACAAAGGCAAAATCTGACTCTAGATCTCCCAGGCTGTACTGTGCTTAATTCAGGCTCCCAGTACCACTAAAGCACCGTGTATGGTTTCCTGTCACAAGAATTTAATTTCTTCTGAAGGATGGTTCCTCTCTCTGCATCATTAAAGGTTTACATAGGAGGATAGGAACAAAAAAACAATAAGCACTTTTAGTTTACTCGTTTATAATAATTAGTTCTGTTAAGTTTTTGTTTAGTGCTTTTATTTTTGTAATAACTGAATAAACTAGAGCTTTTCAAATTCAAATTGGCAAGAGAAAAAGACAAAAACATTCTGGAGAAGCTCAAAAACTGTCGGTGCTCCAGTTTAAAAGAAATCCCAACGTCATCGACTGCAATTTAAAACTGAAATATCAAAACAATCTGTGTGTCCAGCTCCCCACGGTTTGGAACGTCCACATGGAATTGGAACATCTCCAACAGACCACTGCCAACCTCGTCAGGTGTTTTTAAGACACTTATATATGTGTGTGTGTATATAATACAAAAAAGGAACAATACACTGGTCTTTAGAAAATTTTCTTAGAGAAGCACAAGCTGATATCTTTCATACTTCTTACCATTCTCTAACAATGCAATCTAAGCCAGTATTTAAAAAAAAAAAAAAAAAATCCATGAACATACAGTTAAGGTTCCCTGACAAGGAACGACCCTGGCCCGCACAGTCTTCTGGACGCACTCACCGGATGGGGTTGGGAGGAGGGGGGAGTGGAGGTGGCGGAGGAGGTGGCGGAGGCACGGAATTCTCAGACTGGTTCACCCGTTTCTGGAGTTCATCCACTGCACAGAGACCGCACATTCAGAAAAGAGCTGGAATAGGCAACTAAACACCTTTTGTGCATGTTAAGGAAAAAAGCACCACCTATCTCAAAACCAAGTTCTTTTCTATTAAGGCAAAGTTAGAGATTTAATATGAGACTGCAGAATCAAACTTTTTATCATCCAGTCTACCATCATTAATGCAAGGGGCCTTACATGTGTTACAAGAAAATGTTACCATCTATTTGCTGTACATACAACTACAGAAAAGAAAAAAGTTCAAGACAATAGCTGGGCGGGTGGGAAGTAAGGACTGAGTAGGCTGAGGAAATATTTGTTAACAACTTACTACTCAAACACTAAGAAATTGTTAATACTTGACTTTTAAAATGTATAGACCAAGAATTAATTTTAAAGATGACATTTAGTACTGAATTTTAATAGCATGCCTTCCTCCTCCACTTAATTTCCTTCAAAAGCTGCAAATCTTAGTATTCTTGGTATTAACCACACTCAGACTCTCAAATGTCCGTGACTCAGAAACCTTTTGCTCTCCTGAAGAGCATTCTGGAAACATAATTATTCATTCGATTCACTCTGGTGATTAATGAGGCGGGTATTTGATAAGCACCGACAATGTGAAAGGGCCTACTGGTGCTGTTCCCAACACAGCTCCTGAAGTCAAGGAACAAATTTAATTTCCATCACTGATGCCAATACCTCCACCGCGGGCCCTGATGGGCTCTAGGTGCCAACTACTGTTTGCGCGGGAAGAGCTCTCTGTCTCCACAGCCCTTCCACTTTCCAGGCTGACTGCAGCCCCAATGACCCACCTGTCCGTCTGTTTTCTACTCTCAGCACCTGTATAAGCAGTGTGGGCAAGCTCATGACACCAAGACTCCTCCACTTGTTCCATGTGACTACTTCTCCAGGGGGAATCTGAGTTCCTCAAGGACAAAAGGCATGGTTTCCTTTCTTCTTTCTTACGGTACCTCAGCGTATGGCTGGGTACACACGGCAAAACTAAAACGGGCTCAAAATGGAATGTCTAATGTCTGTAGTGTCTGCCTCCCCTTTATCATAAAGACAGATGGCTTTCACTATAGGCTGCTCTGATAGTCACTAAAAAAAATGGAATATTTCTTCATTGTAGATCAGTTTTTAAAAAAAAAACAAACTATAATTTTCATTGTGGATTACGAAACACTGAATACGTTTTAAAGGAAGAAAGCCAACTTGGTTCTTCTGTACGGATTTCAAAATCCTAGTATAAAATTAACCGAAAATATCTGAAGTGAATTTTGAAGCTGTTTTAAAGGGAATGACCTGCTCCTCAAATTACCGACCTTCCAACAGAAACTTATCACTTAACCCTGTGCAGTAATCCAACTCACGCATTCCTGGTAAGCTTTCTAGAACGGAATGAATAAATCCTTTGACTTAAGTAAACTCCTGGTGTTTTAAAAGCGTTCCATTTAATATAGATATTGTTGCCTATTTTAGTGTTAGGTACAGTATTTTAAGTATTATTTCAAGTGTATAATTAGACATCAAAATGAAGGTGGTATGAATCTATAAAGTTTAATTCTTTTAAAAAATGTACCCTAAAATGAACAAAATAAGTACTTATTGAACACTCATAGCTGAGGCCCTGAGAAATACTGGAATTTCGGTCTTCCTATATTAATAGTACCTTTGTCCCTTAATTCTATGTGAAACTAACAAAGGCTCTGAGTCCAAAAATGTCTAAATATTTGTGAATCATTTAATTACAAGGACCATTCTACTAATGAACTGCAATAGTGAGAAAGGAAGAAATTTGAACACGAATCTTAGTATTTTTCTATAGCATTTGGTAAATGTTCTGGACTATACACCAGGTTTTGTATTGGGCATGAGAGTCACAGATGAATAATAAGACAAAAAAGCCTACTCAATGCTTTTACCAGAATGCTTTAAATTTCTGGCTTTCTCCTCAGAATTCTGATATTTCGATTCCAATTCTTTTTTATCTTCTTCTAGAAGCTCCAGTTGCTGTTTGAGGTTGTGTATCTCTTTGTGGAGTGTTTCATTTTCTAGTTTTTCTTCTAATTCTTTGACCTATAAGTTATAAACAGACTTTTATGGAGTCAAAGTTTTTTCTGTGTCAAGGACAATAAAGAAAAAAATAAATGTTTCCCATTTACTTTATACTTCATAGCAAAGAGATTCCAATCCATCTTAAAAACTATAAAAATTCTGGGATACAGATAATACCTCAAAATCATTACTGGCTATTTGATTTAATATAAATTTACTAGAGACCTATATACCAGGTAATTTAATTTTTAACATGAGCCAAAAAACTAATACCATACCTTAAAAATTCATTTAAAACAGATGAATACTTTTATACCTATTTTCAAGAGAAAAATTCAGGTAATATTAAAAAAGACCCTTGGAGGTACAATTTGGTAATAGCATCAAAGGCTTAAAAAAAAGGAAGAAGAAGAGAGAAGAAGGAAAATCCCCTTGATTTAGTAATACTGCTTTTTTTAAAAAATTGATTTTTAGAGAGTGAAAGGGAAAGAACAGAGGGAGAAAGAGAGTGAGAGAGAGAGAAACACTGATTTGTTGTTACACTCATTTATGCATTCATTGGTTGTTTCTTATGTGTACTCTGATCAGGGATCGAACCTGCAAACTTGGCATATCAGGACGATGCTCTAACCAACTGAGATACCTGGCCAGGGCCCAACAGTGCTACTTTTAGAATTTGTTTTAAAGAAATAGTAAGACAAGTGTTCAAATATATTCACTAACGTATTCTTTGTGACAGGGAAAAATTGGAAAGAACCTAAATGTCTGCCGATATCATTGATGTAATAAATTCTGGTGTGTTCATTAAATCAGATTCTATGCAACCATTTAAAATCCAATAGCTCACCATACACTGACACTGGAAGATATATTACTAATTTTAAAAATCAGTTACAGGACAATATGTACGATTCCATTTAACCTATAATCATAGAAGTATGTATTTACATAAGGTTTAGACAAGCACCAATGGATGAGATTCTTGGATAGTCTTAATTTTCTTCTTTAACTCTTTCTGTATTTTAAAAATCTGTTTACTTGAAGGAATAGGTTATCTTCACACTTGTAAAAACAATACAGCTGTGTTTAGAAATCGCTGAATCTACAAGTGGACTTACAGATGGGTAAGATGTATTTTATAAACCACATACATGAAATATTATCCAGAATAACTGTATGGTGTAGCATAACAGTTTGAGAGGTAATGACTTCGATGACTTCCTTTGTAACTTTGATCTCATCTTCAGCGCCTCACGCAACAGGTACGCGTGCAACAATTCAGCCCCACACCTCAGTTCAACTCAGTAGATTCCCGGGATGTATTAGTTACTGAATGAGTTCATTGCAAGTAGCAGGACTTTCCAGAACCAAAGAATTCTAGAATAAGCTAAATAAAAATAGCATTCTTTTATTCTCTCTTTATTTAGAATGGCAATGATGCAGATGGGGTAGGGGCCGGGGGGATTCTTTCTCTCCCATCCTCTATGTATATTTCAGAATTTCTTATTGTGGGGAAAAAAAAAAAACCCTAACTCTACCTCAGGACCAACTTTGTAAAAACTTCAGAAGCTCCCAAGGATTAAATGTCAATATTGTCCCTTAAAGAGGCTTTCACAAATGATAATGACTAGCAGCTAACAGCCTTTCCTTCTCAAGCTAGGTACACTGTAAGTAGTATAAATATTGATGTGATTTTTCTTAAGTGGTTTATTTAACCTGAAAGCCTTTGTTCTAGTCCTTGGCCTCTGCTGCCCGCCACCCCCTCTCTCACCGGCCGCGCTGATTATCCTTTTGGCCTGGCACACCCAGGTAGGCTGTGTCAGCAGGAATGGCTCCACTCAAACAAACAGAAATAACCACTTAGAAAGTCTTTAAACACACTCATTTGTGCAAGTTTACAAAATCAGAAATCCCCTCTGAGCAAACAATTACTACCAACATGGACTTGCCCTCCCTCTTTGAATAAAGCCTACGCCCTCCCACAAGCCCTTTGAGACCAATACTCTCCTAGTACACGGGGTCTCCCGAAACACAACCACCTCAGGCTTACAAATAGGGCATGGATGCATTATCCGAGCTCTTCCTAAGTCATCTCTTTTCCTCCCTTCCTCTGTCCTTTTGGACAGTTTAAAGTCTACAGTATTGCACTGTAAATTTCAGTAGGGCACTCATTTATTTTTTCTAGAAGGTGAAGAGACAGACTTGGTAACTCAGGTGAAATGAGGAACTAACTCTAAGGGACGAGACTAACTGCTCTCAATGTGTGGGAGTGTGCGTGTTAAGACTCCAGAAGAAAAGCTGGTACCTTTTGTTGATGCTGAATTCTTTCTTCTTCAAGGAGCTGGGTGAGTTTTGCATTCTCATCTAAAGCTTTCAAAAGCTGTTGATCAGGAGCAGAGCTCTGGAGCAGAAGACAGCTTTGTCTCTTTAGCTTGTTTTGTTCAATGAACATCTGCAAAAGTTAATAAGGAACATGTATATGCCAGTCAATCTCACGTATCTCTTCAACTGACACTTGAGCAAAAGGAAAGTATGCGGAGTTTTTATCAAGAAGGTAGAGCAAACTTCTGAATTCTATAGTTTAATGGTTTTAGAAGTAATGATTGCTATCACTGCAATCATAACTTTTATACAATTTCTTCAGTATCTTTACCCTTGCCCCAATGAGGTACAAAAATTTGAGCCCTAAACTTCAGTCTTTAATATTGTATTATGGCTTTAAAATCCATTGATACTAATAGTAGTAGCTAATATCTCTGAAGAGCTTATCTTATGCCAGGTACTCTACTAAATATTTATTTTAATCATTTTAATTTAAATATTTTACCTTATTTTAAATTAAGCATTATTTTAATCCTTGCATTAATTAATCTTATGAGTTAAATGCTTCTGCTGTGAATAGCTAAAATTAACTACACACTACCTGATACTTACAGAGGTAATCATTTTACATGTATTATATCATCTAATCCTTAGAACACCACTGTCAAGTAGACACTGTTTTTATCCCATTTTTATTAATAAGGTAAATAAGCCCCAGAGGGGTTAAGTAACTTTCTTTCCAAAGACATGTAAGTGGTAAAACCAGGATTTAAACGCAGATCTAATTCATAAGCCCAAACTCTTAATCACCTGGCTAATCTCCTCTATTTACTAGACCTAATGTTTTGTTTTAAAGCAATGAGCTTTTCCCCAGTGATGAAGTAGGTAACAGTAGGAGTGTAAAGAAAAGAAGGGGAGAGGTATAGCAATACTTATTAAGCACTTTATTAAGCACTTTACATATATCATTCATTTAATCTTCACAACTTCACACGATTAAAAACATTATTTTCTATTCATCTGTTCTTTCTTTTCCTTCGCGCCCTACACAAGTTATCCAATGGGTGATCATGGTTTGGTTTGGTTTGGTTTTTTGAGAGTATGTTTATTAAAGCTGGGGACAGTGAAACCGGGAAGGATTTGGGATAGAAGCAGCAACAGGACCGCCAGGGTGGGCTGCTTTGGCTCCTGGGAAGGCAGAGAGAAGGGGGCAGGCTCAGGGGGTGAGCCCGGGCCCAGGAGCCGCTGCCCACTGCTCCCCGGGCTGTAAGTCTCTGGGGGGGTCCCTCAGAGCTTTGGGGAGGGAAGAAAGGCAGGGGCGTGCTCCTGAGAGAGAGCATGTGCCCTGGGTCCTCCGTCTGGAGGGTTTTAAAGGCGGGGATTTCGGGAGAGGATCACAGAATATTCATCAGCTTTATGCGGATGCACCAAAAGGAGATTTAGTTCCTTCACTTTGTCTGTCCTTGGGTGTGGTCAGCACAAAAGGCATTAATTAGAATTTTTTCCTATCTCCCTGAGTAGGGTAATGTAAGCTATTTACCCTCTGGCTGGGGAAGAGAAGTATAAGCCATCTACTCTGTGTTCTGGATAAGGAAAGATGGGATCTGGTAGATGGCTGTACACTGCTTGGCCATTTAACTGTCCCAGTTCCCATATCCCACTTGTCCTGGCTCACTGGCCTGAGTCATTCCCCCTCAGAGACTTCCATTTCTGAAATCTTTCAGGGACGATGAGGAAGGACAGTAGGTCTTCCGTACAAGGGCCATGGTCCCTGCCTGTGTAGGTATGGAAGGCTCTCCCTGCCTGATCTCAGGGAGGCGAGGGAATGGGGTCTAAGACTGGAACAGAGGCTGTTAGAGGATTCTTCCAAAGTACGGATAGACCAGAATCCCTGAAGCATCATCACCGTGACAAGGAACTGTCATATCCATAATGGGTGATCATGTTTTTGTTTTTTAAATGGATAAGCAGGAGTAGGCGTAAGGAACTTTTTTTTTACACTTTACACATTTGAGAATGGTTTGTATTCTTTTACATGGCATATATTCCTTTTGTAATTAAATATATGAAGTAAATTAACTTTAAAAATTCATTTCTAAGTTTCAAGGCACTAGGTTCCAAGGTTCCAAAGGGCAAAGGTCATATTTGCATTCTTGCCCATTCTGTTCCCACTATCAAGCAGCATCTGGTTTAATAACATGTTTGCTGAATGCACAAAATGCAAAAAAGTGGTACTTCTCTGGTTAAACTAAGTCATGTACCTCTTAGCAGTAGTTATCTGTTGAAAAACGTGAGAACCTATGAAACATGAAAAAGGGAAGATATACTGGTTCTAATCCAGCTTTATCTTTCTTCTCACCACGGTACAGGTCAATCTAGAGCCTGTGAAGTTATCGAGCACCATTGCCAAGTATTTATGCCACCAGTGACACACGTGCCACAGCTCTTGGTCTCCCTCCTCAAACATCTATCTCCTAATTCTGGAATGGCGGAAAACCATTTTCATAGTCTTAGTGGAATCTCGCTTCTCCCATCTATCTTTCCTGCTACTGCATGGCCTTCAAGTTTCCTTTGAGCTGCTTTGTATTCTAACATCACTCTGCAAACAACAGACGGAAAACTGAAAATGTCTCTCAAAGACAGACCGTGGCATTCAGGTCAAAATCAGCGAACCTTTTCAGTTTTGCAATGGGGGCATCTCTGCATTATTATTATCTCTACTCTCCCTCCCCCTCTGCTGTTTATTTAGATCCATTATTTATACCGCTGCAGCTTTTTCCAAAGAACTCTGACACACTCCAGTTCTTTTTTCTTTCTTCCAAGTAATAAGAGAATAATATTTACTCACCTTTCATTAAATTCTCTGAATAAAATGAATCATAGTATTTCAAATCAGATCTTCTTGGGCTAAACCTTTTATAAAGAGTTCGTTACTGGCACAGCTACATTCAAGCACAGAAAGGCTCCTACACAAAGCCATAAACTGATTTTTAAATGTCATTCGCATAACCCCATGCTTTGTCTTCTTTCTACACTGTGAATACTTCCACCTAAGAATGTCTTACATCTCCTTGGCTACTTTCCTTCAACCTACAGTATGTACACAGATTCAAATTATTTATACACGACGGGACCCTCATGTTTATCAGCTCCCCATCATGAGCTGTTAGAGCTCAGCCAACTGGTAGCTCATTACTTCCCTGGAAGCCAGTCCCGGAGCCACGGAATACATCAGCAAAGGTAAGATGGAACACGAGACACTCCAAGCTTATCTCCAACATGAGAGGAACATCATTACTCTGGTGAAAGGCTGATAATGGATGTACAACATGGCAATGTTCCACAGCAAGCAGAAGAATCAACTCACATAATGAGAGTACTGGATAGGAGCCCAAGAGAAATCCTAATACCATGATACTGTTACTGGAAATGGTATATGGAGAGGTAACCTAGATTCGTGAGGCTGTTGGAAACATACGAAAGTCCTATACTCAAGCTGGACTTTCCATCAAAAGCTACAGGTATCCTTAAATATAACTTCTTTCCCCTGTGTAGCATTTTAGAGGTTACAAAATACTTTTGAAAATTTGTGCCATTTGAATTTCAAATCCACTCGGCTCTGTGAATATCACTGCCCATTTTACGGATGGTGAAAATGAAGCCCCAATTGGCTAAGAGGCGGCTGTAAGGTGAAACAACTGGTAACTGACCGACATGCCAAAATTTGAACCCAGATCTTCTGATACCAAGTTTGGTGAACTTGATCCTATTCCATAGCCGCCTCCCTAAATCAGCTGATCCTTCGTTCATAGCAGTAAATTCTTATTCAACCTAAAAAAAATACTCTGATGTGTCATCTGCAACGTTCTTTAAGAAATAAAAATGTGAAACTAGGTCTCTACAAGATACTTACTTACCTCTTGTGCAAATGACTCTGCTTTCTTTCGAAGGTCCTTCTCCAGCTCCAAGTTTACTTGCATTTCCTCATACTCCTCGACTGCCAGCATGGACACTTCAGAAGACAAGGGGAAAAACAGACAACACGCCACACAGATTATCAGGAATATGGATGGAAATAGTGTTAAAAAGGTTCTTTGTACAGGCATATATGCACTCTCCACCATTGCTGGTTGGAATAGAAACTGATAAAACCTTTCGGAGGGCAATGTGAGTCAAAGTCTAAAGCTGTTCATACTCTGACTCAACGATGCCTCTTTCAGGAATGTATTTATTCTCCTAGGAGAATAATTCGTGAACATATACAGAAATTTAATGGCAGGGATGCTCTCTGCATCGTGGCTGAAAATTGTAAAATAATGGTCTAATATGGAAGGATCGGTGAAGTATAATATGTACGAGAAATAGTCTGCCATCAAAATTATACTATAAAACATATTTATTGAATGAAAAGACATTCATGATATTTTAAATGAGTTCATTTTAAAAGCCACATACTAAACACTTAACAAGGCATTTCATAGAAGAGGAAACATGTAGAAGGCCCATAAACATGTGGAAAAATACTGATCTTCATTAGCATCCAGGGAAATGCAAAGTCGTAACATAGATACCTTTCTTGGTATCTATACCGCATAGATACCGCACCAAAGAGGCAACTGGCAAAAATTAAAAGTACACATCAAGTCTGGAAATTATAGAGAACAACAGGAACAAATACACAGCTAACAGGAATGTAAATTTATAGATCTACTTAAAAAGTAATTCGGCATGAGGTAGTGAAATAAAGATAAAATTTTACATTTGTCATATATGTTAGAGACACTCTTGAACATATGCACCAGGAGACATGAATAAGAATTTTCATAACAGCTTGACTTCGAATGGCAAAAAAATGGAAAAAATTCAAGCATCCACCAATAGGACACTGGCTAAATGAATTCTGATATAGATATTGAAGAAATATGATATAGCAGTGAAAATAAACAGACCACAGCAAAGCCCTTCAACATGGAGAGACCTCACAAAGGTGAAGAGGTACATATGCAAAATTATACCACTTTATAAAGATCAAAAGCATGCAAAATAAAACAACATGTTATCTAAGGATATAAACATATTTGGCAAAACTATAAATAAGAGAGATGATAAAAATCCAAGGGAGGTGTATACACAGAGAGGGATGTTCAGGGACTTGGACGATATTGATGGGTAAAGAGATATTCCTTTTGCTGGTATTTCCTTTGTCTTCCATGTATGTTATAAACATATTGAATGTATATATAGCCTTTTTAACTGGAAAAATAACACTAAAATGTTAACAGTGCTTATCTCTGGACTGGAAAGATTGAGATTACTTTTTTCCTTTTTTGGTATGAATCTATACTTTCCACCAAAACAAGGATATTAACTAAAGAAAAAGAAAAATAGACTTAAGTTATTTTGAAGTGTTCGCCATGTCTACAAAGCAGAGAGACGGCCTTGGCTCCATTCAGGCCTGGAGTCAGAGCTGTTAATTAAAGAGGCACTGTGGGGCAGAAACCTCAGAGGGGAGGTCCCGTCAAGTAAGAGCAACACGTATTACTCTTACTTTCTGACATTTGGTGGTCTATTTTGTGAAATAATGATATTGTCAAGACAGGGAGCGATGACGCCATTAGAAATTAGACACAACGTAGGTAGGTGTCACTCTAGTCTCTCCATCTGTTTCTGGTGAGGCAGTTTCAATTCGGAGCTGAGTCATATCAACGCAGCCTTTGAAAAGGCTCTCTCTTAATGGCTGCTTTCAAACGCTGTTCCGCCAGGGCACTTCAGTCCTAACTGACTAAGGACTGGTTTGCTGTGTAATGACATAGAATTTCAAACTCTACACTCTGTAAATCTACTGCCCACTCAGAGGAACGACTAATAGTCTTACTCAAGTAAAGCAATAAAAGTGGTGGTTGGTGACGTGAATTATAGGTCCCTGAGAGCACAATTATTTTCAAAGCTATTTTAAAAAGAAATTTCATGAAGAAAACAAAGACTATGCTATGACTACCTGAAGCCCTGGGCAAGATAATTGACTCTCTTTTCTATGTCCAGAGAACACTGTAATAAAAAGGGAATTTTCGCAGATCCTGGTCCCTTTTACCTGGATTCTGAAAGAAATTAGTTTGGTCCTAGTTATGTGTTTATTTATATAATCTCTTTCTCTCTCTTCCAGGGGTAGGGGCTCTCTGAAGGCAAGAGCCACACGGTAAACCTTGACAGAACTCCCCGTTTCTAGCACTGCGCACCAAGATGGAAAAGTCTTCTACACCATTTCTACCTTTTTCAGGGTAGAAAGAGCTGAGGAAATATTACAATTGACTACATCTCCCACACTTAACTACTAGGTTCTTTGTTTATTAAAAAAATCTCAAGTCTTGAATGATGCAAAGATGCAGAACTACCATTAGCAACAGGGAAGGCTCTGAGTCAGAGAGATTCCCTTTTAGTGCTGTAGCTGCTGGACTCAGAAAGAAGGGAAGAGAGAGAACACAACCAGAGTCAACCCCATCTTAGAATACGTCTGCAGAGCTGCACTTGAACGCCATTCCTTGTCCTAAACTGGGGGACACAAAAAACAGCCCCATGAGACTTGACACTGTGTTTCATGACAAGGATAAGATCAAACTACCGCTTTCTCCAGAAGTGGCCTTGGGAGAAATTTCCTTCTGGTGAGGAAGGACTAGGTCTGCTTCTCCTGATGAGTAGGTTCACGTTCTTGTGAGTCACATAAATGATGATGAATTTGTGAGATGATCGCGAGAGCACTGCACTGGCCCCAGGGTAGCTCAGCGTCCGATTCTGGGCACGCAGGTGGGGAATGTGTAAGGCCTCAGAGCAAGAAACACTCTGTATATCTATACATACTTTCCCATTTGTACCATTTTCAATAGCTTCTTAATTTAAAACATTTTCATATCATGTTACATGTATTATGTAGATAGCCTATCTCTTCTGGATTGAAAAGAGGTTTACTAAATAAACCTGTCAAATATATAAATACCAAGGGGATAGCCAATATGGCCATGGTCCCAGGATATACATAGGACAGATAAATATTTAGGTTAAAAGTTTCTAAATGAGTGGGTTGCGAGTTTCTTAAGGAAAAACACTGGTAAGTTTCCTAAGACTCTAGGGTGAGTGGTAAAATAGAAATGAGCGACTCATTGCTGTACGTTAGGAAAACACAATATAGGAGAAGATTCTTGCTGTAAGAATCTTTTGGCACATTTATAAAACAACACAAAAAAACATATATACAAAATAAATTACATATGTACTTGAGAAAAAAGATCAGAAACACATACCTCTATTGCATTTTTCTAAGACTTTTCTCTGTTCAAGAACTTCTGAATTTAAAACATCTTTTTCTTGCTTAACTTTATTTACCTAAAAATGTGAGATTTTGAGGAGAGAAAACACCCAAAGTTGTAAGACATGACATATGGTGATGTGTGATACTCAAATTGCTGTTCAACTTTGAACATGAAGTTAAAAATTTAAAGTAGTAGTTGGCTTCACTGCATTAGCCTTTTATGACAGCTCTTCTTATAGCCTTGAAGGCGCTACTTAAGTTAGGATGTACAAATGGTAGACAATTTATTTACATATTCCAAATGGCATTGGCACTGGTTTCTACACATCATAGTGTTCTAACTGGCCAGTGTACATGATTGATATTTTTAATGCAAAAACCCCACTGGAGAGCACTAAGAAAACACATAAATCATTTAGAGATCCAATACTCAATTTTGGTATTTATTTTAAACTTTGATGATATTTGGCTTAAGTAAAACCTACATGAATTATTAACATTAAAAAATAATTTCAATTTGGATGACTTCGGTTTAAATAAAATATATATAATATTCTCTACAAACAAATGTCTGAAAATAATTTTTTGTATCTATCAATAGAAGAGAATGTCATAGTTAAAAAAAAAGAATGTAAAGCTATATGTATCAAAGTGGATAAATCTCAAATGCATTCTGTGAAATACAAAAAACAGGTAAGTTTATGTAGTTAAAAAACACTCAAAATGCTATGTACTGTAGTACAAATGTAAATACATGTATTGCAATAATAAAACTTAAATTCAGAATAATAGCTGTTTGGGGAAATGGCATTTCCCCAAACATGTTAAGGAGAAAAAGACACCAGGGTTTCAAAACTACCTTAATGTTTTATGTATTAAGGTAGATAGTAGATGGCATATAAAGATGTTCATTATCTTTTATACTTTTCAGATGCTTCAAACAGTCATAATACAAATAACTTCTGAAATGGCTTCCAACCACACCACCAAGTGGGAGGGAGAGAATCATCAATAAATAACAACTGAGGAATAGAGTGCATCAAAATGTGTCTCCTGTTTCTCTCCTATAGTTACACTCAAGAAACAAACTAAGAGGACAGCCCTGAAAGGGTCTCTGAACCATCAGCACTTCGGGCAGCCTCTGAACCGACTTCTTTTAGTATAACCTTTACATTTGGTTTTGGTATTCAATTAGTAACCAGTATAAAATGTCCAACAGGAATGCCATTTCCAAAATATCACTGTCCTTCTTCCCATTCGCTGGGATGTTTTGCCACAGTAGGTAAAAGCAGCTGGGGCTGAGAGGATGGTGGGCACTGCTTCCCAAGCCCTTTCACACTGTGGCCCTGAAGAAGGTGACAGCATTCATATGGGAACTAACGGGACGAGGCTGCTCGCTGAAAGGATCCATCCTTGGCACACCTGCAGGCCGTCTGATGGGTATCAAGGTGCTACAGAGCGTCGATTGGGAAGCTCTGGGCTACAGACTCTGAGAACATCGACACCAGTTAGATTGAGATTGCAAAGGCAGATCCTTGAAGCCTTGCGCAAAGAGAGGCAATTATGTGCTCTGCTCTTAAAGACAATTCAAAAGGAGGAAGAAAAAGATTCTCTAAATACCTACTTGAACCCAGTCTACCGCCTATCACATCCGCCTGTGTAGGAGGAACACCAGGGTAGCCTTTCCCAATGGAGCCAGCCAAGCGCTTCTTCCCCAGCAGCAGTAAGGTGGATGACTTAAATCCAAGGTACCATTCTTGCAAATCTGCCTCCCCTCGTGAAATGGGAGGGGCAACAGGGAATGCTCCGATGCTACTTTAGTGTGTTATTTACCGAGCTAGATAGTGGGTATATGAGAGGTCAGAATCTTATTTTCTATACCTTTCTGCCTGAGAGAGTGGGCAGAAGAGAAGATTAAAACTGGCACTAGGTTCATACGCCAGAGATCGGCTTCCAGAGGCAAGTTTTTAATGCGGCTGGTCCCCAACCCTCTTGAAAACACTAAAGGTCTTGCCCTTCAGGCCTAAGATACATACTTCTTCAATTACTTCTACAAGTTTGCTCTTGAGATTTTCCAGTTCAATGGCTAGTATCTTCTTTTCCTCCTGGACAGATACAATTTGATCTCGAAGTTCTGCATTTTAAAAGAAAAAAATATAAACCTATTTTTAAAAGAAGAAATCAATCTTGTCAAAAGAATTGAAAACACCAGTCCATGTGCAGCTCATGGTCAGGTTATTTAATAATTAAAAGAAAAAGGAAGCAGCAAAGGACAATGGAAATGTCACTCGCGTCCCCTCCAGCACAGCCATGGCTACTCGTCATTTTAAGTCAGGCAAACTCACTATGTGAAATGTACCAGATCGTGTTTGCTTTGCATTCTGTCAAACCCACAGTCAAGAAAACTATCTGGCATTTTAGAGGCAAAACTGTTTAAGCTTTGGGCAAAACAAATTAGGGCATTGTAGTGATTTCTTTTTTATTTTATAATGGCCATGGACCCTTGTCACACTACAATATAAACAATTGGGCAGTTAATAATTTGGAGATTTTCATTTGAAGAAAAATATCCTGATTTGCTGCCAATTTATAGCCCTTAAACATTATTTTAACTGACTCAAAATATAACCTATTTGAAAAAGGGTTAATGCTAGTAATTTTCTCTCCAGAGTTGTGGGTGTTTTGTTTCTTAATTTATTTCATATTTCGTCTTACTGAGATTTAATGAAAACTGTGTTATTAAAATGAAAATATTAGCCACTGTAAGTGCAAAAGCTTCTGGTGTGAGATTCAAGTTACTTCCCCCACTCAAATGTTTAAAAACATACATGGATTAACACAGAGTACTCAAATTTATACCCAGTCTTATGGTTTTGCCACTTAGTTTTTAACTGCCCTTAATTTCTTACCCTTCTTCAAGGACACTAAGAAACCTGCTATGTGGTTATTTATAAATTAAATCAAACTTTTTACACGAACCCACTTAATGGAGTGGATAGAGTTCTCAGAGACTTATTTCAAAATCACTTTCTCTATTGGCTGGCTGCTCCTGAAGGAAGAACAAGAGACCATGCTGTTCAAGACCTAACAGAGGGGAGAATTATGAACAAAAGAGAACCCTTTAAACTTCTGCTCTCTCCTCACCAACATAAATATTATTTTGTCCTAGGTTAAGAGAGTGAAGAGCCAGTTAAAGATGACTTTCTTTATATAATCATCCCTCGGTATCGGCAAGAACTGGTTCCAGGACCCCCGCAGATAGCAAAATCCACGAATGCTCAAGTTCCTTACATAAAATGGCATAGTATCTGCACACAACCTAGGCGTGCCCTCCTGTATACTTTAAACAATCTCCAGATATAATACCTAACACAATGTAGATGCTATATAAGTAATTCTTATACTTTATTAAGAAAAAACTCTGTACATGCTCAGTACAGATGCAATCATCTTAGGTCCAACATATAGCACATGTCAGCAACAGCATAACTTCTCTTTTCCAAATATTTTCTATCTGCCATAGGTTGAATCTACGCATGCAGAACCCACTGATACGAAGGGCTGACTGTACTTTCTTAATACTTCCAGTTGAAATTTTGTCTACCAAGCAAACAAGTATTGCTTTTGACATGTGTACTAAGTTAAAATACCCCAATAGTTACTGAAACAAAATCCGCTTTCTTACGACATCTTTAACATTCACAATGTCTATATATATTTACAAATAAAATGAATGTGTATTTAATAGTTGTATCATGTGATCTTGCCTAACACCATTTCTTGCTATCAGCACAGCTGCTTAATGCGTATTGCTTATAACTCACTGCCTGAACCAGACAAGAAGGGCAGATACCAGGCAAGCGGAGAGGAGTCTTCCCCCGAGATTCCAACAGAGAACCACAACCAGGAGCTGTTGACTGAATACATTTTTATTTATTCTTTCTTTCGCTTCTTTTAATTTTGCCAAAAATATCTTAACATATAGTCCATAATCTTAACTAGTTAATGAATTTAACTGGCTGTTTGTCAAGACAGCACTTTCAAGAATGCCTTGTCCCAAACAAGGAAGCAACTTGTCAGGCACACAACGTGATGCCTTATCATGACTCTCACCCAGGCTACACCTCAGGACACTTAAACCGGAATTTTTTCAAGATAAATGCCCCCCCTCCTCCCCCATCAGTATCTTTGAAAGTTCTCATGTGATTCCAGGGTGCAACCAGGGTTGATAAACATGATCAAAAATAGGCTCAATAATGAAGGCCAAAGCCCCACCTTTGATCTGCCTCTGACACTGCACCGAGACACACGTCTCCGCAGTGGGCTCCCGGTCCACCGCAGAGTCTTCTTCGTCGAGGCTTATCTCTTCAGTTATTACATCTGGTCCCAGCTTGGCCATATATAACATGCTGATTCTCTTCAGTGTCTTATTTTCTTTATTTAGCTAAGGCAAAATATAAAAACAGTGATTTTAACAGCAGTCAAATGAGTAACTTGGATTTTTAAACAATAGACAAATTAAGTGTATTTTTGCCTTCCACATTCATCAACATTCACAGCATGATATAACAATTAGAAGATTAATTAAATAAGGTTTTATTTACACTTTGTAATATTAAGGCTATTACTTAAGACCTGTTGTCTGCATGACGGCCAGCAGCATGTGAGAATGCTTGTTACTACTGATAAGAAATATAAGAAGAATGAAGATAAAACATCAGCACAGATTAAACCAAAGATCAGTTTGATTGTCTTCGTTAAGGCACCATTGCACGCCAATGTCTTCTTTGTCGCTGTGCTGTGTGCATCTTTGGAGGGCCAGTTTGCCCAGCATTCTCTCTTTTCTGGACGCTGCCACTCCTCTTTCATGTTCCACGCTGATTCCTGTGGGAACAGCCATGTTCCCCAAAACACGCCCTCGCCCTCTGGCCACAGCTAATTAGTACAGGGATTTGGCACGTGGCCCAGGCTTGGTCAAGTGGATCCCTTCTCTAGGAATCTGGAGGCTGGAACAGTGAGGTGAGTTTCTTTCCATATGTTGGAGTATACGGAAGCCCTTGGCAACCACAGTCCACGGAACTAAGGAAGAGGGGGCAGGCAGTCTGTACGTGGCAGAGCTCCAATGCAGCTGATGTGAAGAGGGAAGCAGAGAAAAGCAATGGAGACAGGGTTTCCCACAGGGCTCCAGCCCTTTCCCGAACTGCTGCTTCTAGCTCACAGGTACTATGGGATTCTCCAATCCCCCTGTAACAAATCCCTACTGTTTTTCTCTTCTCTTGCTTGAGCTAGTTCAACCTGTGTTGCTATCTGCACAGAGAGGCCTAACTGCTGCACAATAAAAGAAAGTTCAAGATATGTTTCCATTATCTCTATAAAGAGTTTGAATTCATAGCAGAGAAAGGGAGTCCAAATTCACTAGTGTATTTGTTATTCGTTAATGTAGAAATGAGTTGGTTTTTAGCTTTAGTTGCCCAACTTCTTTAGCTCATATGCTTATGTGCATGTAAGTGATAGTACAAAGCACACACAGGGACTAAGCGTGTGTGGGCCACGGACTATCAAAAAAGTTCTGAACTTAGTAACTGGCATTGAAAATAAATAAAAACAGAAACATAACTCATTGAAAAGGCAACTGCCCTTCCCTACTGTAAACCTTACACCAGAGTGAGAGGTTTAGTCTGGTACTTACTTAGCTTCGGCCCCCGCTTTGTCATCATAATCGGAACCCCTCAGGGGTTCTCTCAGAGAAAGTCCAGCCCACTTGAATCTGGGAGAGCTAATTCTTACCCAATAATATTAAATCTAAATATATCTCCAGTCACCTGCTCTAGAGCACAAGAAGGGCTTCCTCTCGGGAGAATCAGGAAGAATCTCCTAGAAACGGCTATGAATCCTTCCATGGATTCCTCTTGGGAAGCATGGTGAGGTCTCAGGGACTCAGACGCAGCCCTTTTTTCCCTAGCCCATGGCTTCAGCTTCTAGCTCCCAGATGACATCGTGGATCAGGAATAAGATACAGAGACCCATGATTTCCCAACTCTTCCCCCTTAAAACGGAAAATTCAGGTAAACACTGTTGGGGAAGGAGGTGGCTTGAACCATGAATGTTACAGCATACATAGCACTCAAAGATCCTTGTTAATTCTGCCCTGACTGGTATGGCTCAGTGGGTTAGGGCACCATCCTGCAACATGAAAGATGGCTGGTTCGATTTCCCCATCAGGACAAGTGCCTGGGTTGCGGGTTTCCGGTCGTAGATTCCATCCCTGGTCGGCAAACAACCGATGTTTCTCTCTCACTTTGATGTTTCTCTCCCTCTCTCCCCTGCTTTCCCTCTCTCTAAAAATAACTAAATAATATCTTTTTTTTTAAAAAAAGATCCTTGTCAATTCTCAAGCAATGCCTTTTTTTCTGAATGTTAGAAAAAAATAACAATTTATGAAAAAAGTGAAATACTTAGTTTGTAATTCTGCACCCTAACATTGAAACAATGGTCCCCAACTGCGCACATCAGAATCCCTACAGAGCTCTGTAAAAAATCCCACTGCACAGGCAGGCCCTCCCCCGACCAGAATCTCTGGCAAGGCGGCCTAGCCCAGCACTTTTTCAGAGTGACTCCAACGTACATCAACAGTAAGAATCGCGCAGGGGCGCACAACCTGCGACCCAGGGTGGCTAGGAATGTGGGCCAACACAAAATCATAAAGTTATTTAAAATCCTTTTTTTTTTTTTTGCTAATCAGTCTTTGTTAGTGTTTACATATTTAATGTGTGGCCCGAGACAATTCTTCTTCCAGGGAGGCCCAGAGACACCAAAAGGTGGGACGCCCTTGATAGAGTGATACAGCGTCTTAGTATTTACTTCTCTAAAGTCAGTATAACAGAGTTAAGGACCAGCTCTACAATCAAATTGTCTCTGCTTCTAGAATAACCTGATACTTTAGTGTTAGTTTTCTCATCTGCAAACTAACGATAAAAACAGTCTCTATCCCATAATATGAAGATTAAGTATGAGATATTACATATAAAGTATTTAATATAGTGGCTGACATATAGTGAAAATTCAGGTAAGTATTAGCTACTAATAGTAACAAAAGAGGTTTAGTTTGTGCATCTAATTTTCCTTTGGAAATCTTTTATCAGCTAATTTTCTTCAACCAAGGCATTCGTCTATACATTTTTTTCTTCATCCAGGACTGTCATGAAAAAAAATGAAAATACCAAGTCTTCCCAGTTGGTGCCGAATACATTACTCACCAGGCCACTCATCACAATAACACTTAATAACCTAACAGAAGTTCTGCCCTCAGAAGAGTGTGATGCTTCTATCAAACCGAGCACCAAAATCCGCCGGCTGCTCTCTGGCTATAATACCACGACTCTACTTAACAAAGTTACTGATTCGAAGGAAAACCCAGACAAAAAATTTCCACAGTGTTCTCTAAAATGTTATTTTAGTATATTGAAAAGGGGACTATAAGACATATACATAAGATTTTATGACTATACTAACTGAACACTTTTGAAAACTCTGGACTCCCAAATCTTGGCTTTTTTGCTGCGGTTGTTACTCACTAAGTTACATGGGTTAGCGGCGCGCTGCTTGTGTCCGGGGCCGTTCTGAATCACAATGTGAAAAGGGATCTTTCATAACCCTACAGGGACAGAATCTTCTACATTCAAATTTGAACGGAGTTGTTTATAATGCACACAGTTTAATCATTATTTAAAGATACAAAATAACAAGTTAAACGGATTTGGCCCATTTCATTTAAATAGCTGGCTTACATTTATCAGTTTAACCTCCAGATTTTGGCAAAGTAAAGTGTCCATATTTGTTTCTAAGAAAATTATGCGGTCAAAGTGTGTCACAAGAATTACACATTCTGTTTGTCATTAATTTGAGAGTAAAAATTCAGAAAAATAAGGAACTTTGCTGCTTAAAAAATGGAACCTACTTTCAAAATGACAATGATACTTAAAATCAGGATGTGCTACTATTATTTACTGATCACACATACTGAAACTTCTAAATTTTGCACTCAACGCTATAGTATCTACCACATCCAAAGAGAACATCTAAGGTGTTTGACTGAATAGGTTTTTGGGTTTGTTTGGTTTTTTTAATTCCAATCCCCATGAGTTCATAGTGTATCCTCAAAAACAAACCATTTGTCCATTTTCAAAATGGCTACTTAAAGAACAAATGATAACCTGCATAAGGATCCTGTTGTCAAAACAACCGTAAAAATGACCTTGCAGATTAGTAATGCAATGATTCCTATCCAGGGATGAATATAACAGCCACCCTGCCACACAACCATGCCTGGGCCACACTCCGAGATGCAGTGGGTCCGGGGTACTCCTAAGAAACTAACCCCGGGCTACCCTGACACTTAGGACAACTCTAGCTCACAGAGGTAAATTCTCTTATTCAGTCACCTGTTAAATTTAAAAAGCAGGGGGATAAACTAATTTTTTAAATTATTAGATGGATCAATGATTAAAGTGCATAATGGAAAAAGCAAAGTCCACCCCACTCTCATTCCAGGACTAACTCTAGTTCCTCCTGTCATTTACGACAAGGCAGCAGTACGGGGGACACAGCGAACTTGCCCGAAGTCACATATGCCTAAAATGACATAACCAGGAATAAAACTCCTATCTGCTGCCTCCCAAACCACCCATCTCCACAAACCCGGCAGCCCTGAGAGGTAGTCAGTATTCTCCCTTTTGATGTACTATTGCAACAGGAATGCCTGGTAATAACAGGAGAAAAGAGAGATTATTCTTAGACACTAAAAGATTCAGAGCATCTAGTATGTTCCAAAAGAAGAAAGGAAGAAAATGAAAAGAGAATCCACCCAATATTGTGGACCAGTGAACTCTAGTGATGTGCAGAAGAGTGGAGATGATCTGAGAGCACCCATGTTATCACTGTTTTTGAAGCCACAGCCTATATTGTTATGTATTCTTTAAACAAATAACAGAAATTACATACGCGTAGTTATAGTCTTAGTTAGATTCTGACTGCATATCTTATGAATTCTAATGTAGTGTCATTATGGAAACAATTAAGCAAGCAACTCTAGTAAGTATACTGAGTGCATACAAATTAGATAGATAGATAGATAGATAGATAGATAGATAGATAGATAGATAGATAGATAGATTTATTTGTAGAATTTCAGTCACATGAAAAGAAATACTTTAGAGGTAGGGGAAGAAACACAACCAGCATTACTAATGAAATTTGGGTGAAAATTGCTGTAATCCATTTTCTGATGAAATGGTTCAGATGCATTTTACCCAACCCAAAATACATAAGACAGGGATGAAAACATTCTTTAATAATAATGTACTTCTGATGAGATAGAATATAGAAAATTACACACTTGGTAAATTCATCAGCTAGAAGCAATCAGCAGAGCACTGGAGGTCACCTTTCGCATGCCCTCACTTTGCTTTCACAAATAATCACCTGAAATTGTAAGGCTTGAGGCTGACTTTTTCATCTAGTTCAGACATGAAACACTCACTGCTCTTTTCTGTCACACCAGGTTAGTCTGAAATTTGGTTAGCATTTTAACCAAATGTGTAGTCATTTGGAAAGTCCAGTTCAACAGATTATTCTGGGCCTATTTTTCAGAGGCAAAAAGTACAAATGCTGAAATACACACACAAGCTCCTTTTACAATAAAAATAATCTTTGCGTTAAGACTGATATTTACATAATCAGATTCCAGGATTCTGAGACTTTCAACCCTTTTGTCATCGTCAGAGTCAAAGACAGATTAGAAAACTAAAACAGCCAAAAAGGATAGAATCCACTGTATAGAAAAGCAAGTCAAAATCTAAAAGCTCAGGTAGCATTTCTTTACTTGGAAGAGTCTCACCTTTGTTGCCAAAGCTTCAGCACTTTCTCGACAAGTCTTCTCTATTTCAAGATGGTTCTGCATAAAATTAACTTCCTCTATAACCATGTGAGAAACTAGGAATGAGAAGAAAAAAAGTCTCAGCATTCAAAGATTAGTCAGCTATTCCCGAAACCCACACATCTTGTCCCATGATTACGAATGCTCAATTCTTTGGCTGGCCAGGCCTTTAGTGATCACGAAAAAGTGCTTAAGATGCTGCCCTGATTAAATCTTAGCTAATATTTGACACACAGAAAGAAAAAAGAACGCAACAAAGAACACTTATGGCTATTACACACATTTTAAGCTATTTAGGATAATTTTTAAGTGTCTGTTTTCTAAGTAGCTGTACAGATAACCACTAAATTAAACAAAAGAACCTCTCACAAATAAAAAGTGACAAACATGATTTCCTTTTCTTAGCAGGATATAACAGATGGGTCTAATAAGGATAAGTAGCTAACGGAAAAATTATAAAACTAAATCTAGATCTCATTACAATAATAACGTGACAGCTTAGCTAGTAAGTTTAGCAGTAGTAGTCTTTATCAGTGACAAAGGGGAGTTTACTATTATTTAATAAACTCGAGGACAAAGATGTAGAGCAACAAGATTTTTGTACTGTATTATGATGAAAATAGATGCTACTAAGTTGCATCCCACACTGTCAGGAAGATTAGGAAAAATAAATTTTACCTGATACTTTATCAATGCTTGAAAAATAGTAATTTTCAAGCATTTTGGGGGAGCTGGTTTATATAAATCGTGATTTAAAGGCACAAGGTAATTTAGAACTTTGTAAATCAAGTAAGAAAAATGCCAATTCCTTTCACCCATATTTCTAGTTAAAAGAAAATGCTCAGAATCTCAAACTTACTTAACTGTAGACATGCATACTTACTGACATTTGTTTGGCTTAAAATAAAGGAAAATTAAGGATACCCAAACGTGAAATCCAACAAAGTTAGGCAAAAAGCACTGGGCTCATGGAACACAAAGAGAGATTACTTTTGCTTCATTTAAGCTTAATTAACCTGCAATTATGATTAAACTCAGGGGAAAAAATTTCTCTCCAAATTAAATACAAAAATGTATTACTTCCTAAGTCTGTCCAAAGTTCTTATTATGTTAATATTCAAATTCATAAAGCAGCACTAAATGGCCAGAAACATCTCTAACCTTGACATTTTTTCAGGGGTAATAATCATCCGCGGCAAATGCAGGCCAACCAAAAACCACTTAACTAATTAGTAGTTGCAGTCACCGAGAAAAACATGAATCAACACTGTTATTACAAGTGGCACATTTGAGTGGCATCTAATTATGACTTGATGAGCACGATACTTGCATTATCAACATTACTACTGCATCCCATCAGGGCCTAAAAGCTGCTGATGGCATTGACTTCGAGAAACTCCCCCTCAATGGTGCAGCAGCACCCAACAATCGGCTTGGCAGGGGCCCCCCTCACTAAATGACACGTTAAGCGTAATTACTGGTAGACATTGTAAATAAACAGGATTGGAAGTGAAAATTGTACCAAGTGCATAAGACACAATCTGACACATTGGAAGTGGCAGCCTTAATTGAGAGTTTCTTTGACTGCTCAAGATCATTTCAACTGCATTTCTCAGACGACAGTGATTATAACTGTGGAGACAGACGGCATAATGGTATCAGCGCCGCTGACAGAGCAGTGAATTAAATTGTATCTGCTGTTGTGTGAAAGCCTTGATGAGAGGTACAGATGCCTTAGTGGTCTTACCATTATAACACAATGGTCATGTTGTCATCAACCTTTCTGGCTCCAATTGAAAAGAAATGATTGTGTGTTGAAGCTCTCCCCCTCCCCCCTCCACGCCACCCCCCTTCTCCTCTTCTATCTCTGGTTCTGAATAGAACCAATTTTCAGAGAGCTATGAAATCACGCAATAGGTCCTAAAATGCAGCTGCTTGGCATACAAACGGGTCCCCATTAAACTGGAATCACACACAATATGTGTTTATGCCAGAAGAACAAATAGAAGCTGAACACAGACCAAGTTTATTCACACACACAAAGCCCATGTAGCTCTTCATCAATATAATTGCCTTTTATATTGTAGTTTAAATAATAGGCTCTATTATTTCCTTAAAATCCTAATATTCCTGGCACTTTATCACTATATTTACAAGGTAGGTTCTTCAAAAATGTGAAGGAAAGAGAAAAGAAACCTATACAATTTTTACAACATCAAATATTACTTTGAATTTTTAGCCTTAACTACTTGACATCTTCTGCCGCAATCTGGTATTTCCACTATCATAACAAAAACATAAACACTCTGCATTTTTCATAGGAATTTGACTTTTTATTCAATAACATTCTTGCTCAGGGGAGAGAGTAAGAAAAATTATTCCACAGAAGTAAGGTTTGGACCTAGCAAAAGGAAAACAAAAACCCATTTATTTTCTAAACATTTTGTAAAAAGCTTCCCTGTAATTTAACTTGATAAACTTAGCTAGGTGGTAGCACTAGCCCACATTTTCTCCAATTCTGACAGAGAATACCCCACCAGGTAGGATTTTTATTTCTTCCTCTAAGTGGGAACAGTAGAAATTAAAAATTGTGCTCTAGTTTTTAGTTTAAAAAAATTACCCCAATGCTAAATTGGTGTCCTAGGACCCTACTTATCTACTTCCTAAATTCAAAAGGGAAGAACCCATTTCAAAGGGCATTTATACCTTTAAGAAGCGCGACCCTATTTCCAAAACCAAAAGTCAGGTCACATGACACAAAACAGAATTTTTTAAATACGCCAATATGTTTGCACCTTTCAAAGGACAAATGTTTTAAAAACCTTTGATTGTTCATTTAAGGATTTTCCGATGGTCCTAAATTCGGGCTTGTCTCACAATATCCACAATCTATGACCAATGCACCTAAAACACCTATGATTTGGATAACATCAAGGTTTAAAAAAGAAAAAGAATGAACTTTAAATAAAATGACCCTATTACTGTAGTTATATTTTTTAAAATCCTAGTATTTTAGAAATACATACCAAAATATTTACAGATAAAATGATATGATGGCTGGAATTAGTTTCAAAATAATGGGGAGTCAGTGGGTGGGTGTGTGGACATACAGAAGGAAGAAGACTGGTCTTCAACTGGTCAATGATGAGTACAAGACAGATCATTACACTATTTTCTCATTTTTGTATAAGCTTGAAATTTTCCATAATAAAAGATTTTTAATGACTCTGAGAACACAGAGTTAAGACCTAAAAATATACCAATTATGGCTTGTATCAGTCAAGTTGAATCAGCAGTTTGTCTCTCCTTTTCAATGACCCCAAAACACTCTCACACATCTGACACCAGAGAATACATCACACTTTAGGGTAACTGGGTTGGGTCTTTTTTTTTCCCCCACTTGTTTTTGCCTTCTGCTCACTATGAACATTAGAGCAGAGACTTTGTTTAACTCATGTCTGAATCTCTTGTACTTGGCACACTGCCATATACAAAACGGTTGTCATGTCTGTGTTTGTTTGAGTGACTGGGAAAATACACATATCAGTCCTAAGTTCACCTGTGAACACCTTCTTTACAAATATGTTCTCTGTCGTGTAGAATTGCTTAAGAAACAACCGCCATCACTACTTACTGAGCCAGCTAGGCATCCGGCCTTGTGCTAAACCCTTTACGCGTGTCCTATCAGATCCTCACAACCCTCCCAACCCGTGAGGCAGGTATTTCCACAGTAATTTTATATTTGAGAACACTGAGGTCCAGAGAAGTTAAGTAGCGTTTCCCAAATGAGAGCTCTAATTGGTAAAGCCCTGCCAAACCTATTTCTAGGTGACTCTAATTTCTGTGTCCCCTTCTAAATGGTCATATTTAAAGGTGACACCACCAATGATGTTGCTTCCTGAGTAAAAGCCCCTCTCCCTCCAGCCAACTCTTGGTGATACTTGGATGCCCGGATGTGTTTAAAGTGTACGTGATGAACGCGTAGGTTCTTTTGCAACATCAGATTACATAGAAAGGGTCTCATTGTAGTGAGAAAACAGCCATGAAAGCTGGCAGGTACAGGAAAACTGCGCCCCACACCAGGCGAAGGGTCTAACGCTGTGGCGTGCCGACCTGAGAGGGCTTATTCGCTTCTCCGTTCATAGGGGTCTGTCTTTCTAAGGAACGCAGCTCTGCTGTGCAGTGGTTTCTGTGCAGAAATACAGGGGAAAGGCTCAGGGAGAACTGGGAGAGAGCCAAAACTGGCACGGACTACACGGTGGGCAAACGCAGGTTGACAGTGGGAACGCTCTTTGAGTTAATGAAGCCATTGTCATAATCACACCCTGCACGTCTTTTTCCATATGAACAACTGCAAACCTGCTTTTGCCTAGCCTTGTATGGGCAACACCAGCTGGGAAAGGCATGCTCTTCCCAGCAGGCAAACATTACAGGGAGTCCAGTTTCGACCCAGCACCGAAGGATCCTTCCCCCGGGGGCCATCCAAACGCAGAGACCGGTGCCTGGAAACTAACTCACCAAAGGCAAAGGATACGAGCTCCATACTGGAGGGCAGTCAAGCACTGGGTGTGCAGTAAAGGAGAGGGTGGGAGCAGCAAAGAACATTCCTTGAGCCCTAAGGATAATGCCAGGCACTGCGCTCATCAGCACTTTTCACGTGGAGTATCTCATTTAATCCCTGAACAGCCTATGAGTCAGGGTCACTTACCCCAATTTTCCTATTGCAGACATTGCTCAGGGCCACGTGGATTCACACCAAATGGTGCATTTCACTGGTGATAACTGCCTCACCGGCTTCCCAACCTGATGTTCTACCCCGTGTTCAAAGGTTGTGAACCATAGATTCATTATTTAAAAAAATATTTAAAGCTTTTTTAGTCACACTAAGAAAGCCCCACTTGAACTATTCCCGCTGCCCACAGTAGACAATCCACTGTCCAGAATGAATTCAGCACATTAAATGGTCACAATGTCAGTGGTGTGGCTCTTTCACGTGTGGCTCGGGGACAGCACAGGCGTAAGAGCATCCTGTAGCTCCTGCTTCAGGGAGGAGAACATTCCTCTGCGTCTGTAACTCATAAGTACATAAACGGGAGATATGTCCTCCATAGCACACTGGCCTCCAAAGAGAGGTGACCTCAACGATGTTCCCCTCAGATTTCCTTTGTTGCAGCCAGACATGTGAAATACACTGGCTATTGAAATTGAAAGATTTTGCGTCGCGTTTTTTTGTTTTTTTGTTTTTTTGGGTTTTTTTTACCTTAAACAAGAATGAAATGTTTTCTTATGCCAAGTGAACACGTCATGATAGAACCTAACAACCTGACTAACACAGCGCTTCCCGGGGGGCGGGTCGCTGTCCCTGCTAAGGTCTGGTCCTTTTCCCGTGACATATTTCCCTGTGCTCCTTCCGAGTGTCATCGGATATGTCCTGTCTTAGGGAATAAAGTATCAACAAACTCCTATCACATAAAAAATAGCACAGTAAAAATTTAGAAACCTATGACAACTTTCATGGGGCTGTAACTTTCCTTGGTGAGAGGGCAATTTCAAATATTCATACTTTTAAAAATATGTATATTCCACAAACCTCGAGTTCCTTTTTTACAGCTTAAGGAACTACGCAGACCACTGTAAAGATGTATGTATAAGAGTAAATGCCATGGCATTATTTATAATAACTAGAACCCAGAAATAACCCATCAGTGAAGAAACACTTTAAGTAATAGTACTATCATATAACAGAATGAAAACTAACACACATCTGTACTGACATTCAAAGATGACAATAATATATTGTTTACCGAAAAAAGCAAGCTGCAAAACTAAATGCAACATATGATTGTATTTTTTTTTTTTTTTTTGTAGATTCACGTATTACAGAGATAAAAGACCAGGAAAGAAAGACTACAAAATACTCTGTAGTCTCTGCTCAAAAATTCAAGATAACAAGTAATTTTTGTTCTCTTTTAACCATTCTGCATCATAAAATCTTTTATAGCAAGTACAAACTGTCTTTTATAATAACACACTCATAAAACAATAATGCCCATTCCATTTCTTTAAAAATGACAGTAATGCCAGGGTATCTGGGGGACAAATGAGCAGACAATTCTTGCTTTCTTGTACGCCCAATGCATCAGTAACTAAAAAGAGGGGACATGTCTGCCCACAGAACCCCACCACGCAGCTTTGTGTATTGTAACATCCACTGAAATGCTTACGTACTTTTCTGAAATTCCTCCAATTTTCTAACAGCTTCATCTCGCTCTTGCCTAATTTTGTCACACTGAAATGAGAAAAAATGAAAACACTGAATTCGTATCACATGTTTGGAAAGACAAGAAAGAGCAAACTTACAAACAACAGCAACATTATGAAAAGAAAACAAAAAATTAAAAACCTTTAAAAAAAAGCATTCATGATCACACGCTGTTTGTGCTGCTCAACCAGCCTGGTATTTGTACCATTGTATCGGATCAATTTTCTTGGACCTTCTAAGATAATGAGGCACCTTACTGCTCATATTCTCTTCAGTAACAGACCAATTTTACATCCTTAAGTTAAAATATATTCATTCTTTAAGAGACTACTTGTGCTCCTTTTTAATTAGGTTTCTTGCAAATACAGTGGACACCCCACTCATCTGCAGGTCAAATTCCCCGAGACTGGATGGTTCCCAATATCCAGGACACCACCTGGTGCACAACGGGCAGTGAGCACTATGGGAAGGGGCCGCTACAGGAAGACAAACTGCTGCCACACGCTCCACGCACTCTCTTACTCATGAGAAAAACCATTCTTGTATCCCTGAAGTTCTAAATAAAAGAAGGCAGCAATTTAAAAGGAAAGGAGATAACCTAGTCCGCAATAAGCATGCATCATTTACAAAAACGGACTTTTTTGTTTTAAAAGGTGGGAGGACTCACCAAAAAGGCCGTAAGGAGGTAAGACCATAAAAGGCAAAATAACTATTAAAGCATGAGGACTCCTTAGGATATCTGGCACAGAAACAAGTATTTAGTACTTTAACAGACTCTGAAGGTATTAATGAAGTTTTTAAAAGCCTAATGTGCATTATGAGAACTGAATTCAATTTACCCTGAATTTCACAAAACAGGAAAGTATAACACTTTCAAAAAGATTTTCATGTAAAATATCTGAAGCTTTAAAAAGTGATTTTAGCTATTAGAGTGATAATTAAAATTTTAATTTTGTGGAATACTATACTAAGAGGGCCATTTGAAGTAAACACAACTTTAAATTATATTTTAATACTACTATGCCAGGTAAATATTGCACACCTTTGGATATATTCAAATTTCTATGGCTGAAAAATAATGATACCGCAGATAATTTGAAAAACCCAAATTAAAAGAGTAAGATAATCTCCTCTGATAGATGGGCAAAAACTGAAACAGCCTGGTATCAGGAGTTGGAAACTCACCTACTGCTGGTGGGTGTCAACAGGCACAATAGTGCTTTGGAAATACACTATCGAATTTGAAAATGCGCAGACCCTATGTGTGACTAAGCAGTTCTACTTCCATTACCAGAATCTCTAGCAATGTGTACGAAATGATCTATACAAACATGTTCAGCATCTAGAGTAACAAATCATGGTATAGTCTTAAAATACACTGTAAATAGGCACTGAAAATGAAGGGCCCAGAGCCCTGTGCATCAACACAGATAAACCTCAAAACCCACAGTGTTTAGTAAAAGGAGTCGTAGACTATATACCAAGTGATATCTTAACACACATCTTATATACTGATATTGTATATGTGTATTTCATGATACATATGGCATGTATAAAAATATAAAAACATGAAGTAGAAGGACATACCTACAAAATTTATGATCAAAGATAGGGAAGGAAAGAGAGCTATGATTGGGTAAGAGAGGCGATAACTCAACGATTTGTTTTACAGCATTCTTTTTTATTTAAATTTCAAAACAAAATGACAATTAATTTTGTATGTTGTATATTTGTTAGATTATTCTCTGCCCTCTTCTGTGCTTTTAAAATGTTTTTTTTAAATAAAGGAAAAGTTAAGAAGCAAACAGTTCAGTTTTCCTCTTTGGTTTCTCTCAAGTACTCACACTTTAAAAAAACACTTGGGTAAGTCCATTCTGACTACAGTATGTGAAACAAGTACACAGTGCTGACTTAGCAAAGCTGTTTACTACATCCTGGCTGAGGCCCTCCCCCAGAGTGGTCAGGCTGGACCACATCTCAAAGCAGAAGGCAACAGTAAGCAGTACCCCTCTTACCCATGGGGGACACATACCAAGACCCCCAGTGGATGCTCAAACTGCTGATAGTGATGGACCCTACATATATTGCTTTTTCCTATACAGAGATACCTAGGATAACATTTAATTTATAAATTAGGCACAGTAAGACATTAACAACAATAACTAATAATAAAATAGAACAATTATAATATACTGTAGTAAAAGTTATATTAATGTGATGTCTCCCGCCAACCCCTCTCTTCCTCTTTCTCTCCCTCTCCTTCCCTCTCAATCTCTCAAAATCTCTGATAGTCCATCTGATAAATGAGAGAAGCCCTAAGTAACTAATATTTAGGTAGCATACCCAGCATGCATATGCTAGACAAAGGGTGGACTAGCGTCCCAGGCAGGATGGAGCGGGACATCAAAAGATTTCATTGTGCTACTCGGCATGACGTGCAATTTAAAACTTATGACCTGTTTATTTCTGAAAGTTTCCATTTAATATTTTCAGACCTTGGTTGACTGTGGATAACTAAAACTGCAGATAAGGGGAGACTGCTGTATTTTTTTTTTAAATAAGGTGTTCTTGTGAAAATCTATCCTCTGTAAAAAAAAAAAAAAATTGTTTAATATAGTTTCTAGTTCCAACTTAACAAATTACCTGCATTTTTTGTGTGTGTATATGTGGTTCTGGATTCTCAGATAAGTTTTATTAAATCCTTCAGAATACAGTACACAGTTTGATCTTTTATTTTATGACTCTGCTGGCCAGTTGTTTCAGTAATGTTCCTCTTGTTTTCTAGAATGTGGCTTTGTTTGTTCTCTATTTCCCCACCTCCCTGCCAGCCTGCTCACCCAACCTCCAACAATGCACAGTAGAGGAAAGCACAAATAGAAACATTATTTGTAATTGGACTCCTGAGTTATGATTGCCAAATAAAATACTTCTGGTGTTTTCTTTCAAATTAATGTCATGTTTCTACTATCTGGCATTTCTGAAGGGTACAAGATGCCCTATGAAAAGCTGTCTTTATCTAAGAGCTGGTGCTTGGGAGTGTTGCTCCTGACTTAATGTCACTTGGATTCTTCTATATACCTCTCAAAGCTTCACCGGAAAGAATTAGAGGTTAATTTTATTCTCACTTAAATAGCTAGAGTTTTCACTGAGCCTTTGGCTGACAAAGAAATGAAATGAGCATTCTTAAACAGGATGGTACTCTACTCAGACCTGAAAAAGGCCACCAACTGACATCACACATAAGCCACTAACGCAGCTACCATTTACTGGTCATTAACCACATGTGACGATTTTAGGTAAGTTTATACCAATCCTCGCAAGTAAGATTTTACACCCATGCTCTCTGCTCATAAGGTGCTGAGAGACAAGCTTTGGTTAATAACAGGTCTCAGCATCACGGTTTTATTACTCGAAACATGCAAGTCACCGGTTTCTGTAGTCTAGCTGTGTGCCTTTACGTTAACCCCGTAGTCACCACCGGCAGATTCAGAAGCTCTCGCCCAACCCCAGCTGTGTTCTATCGGGGGTCTGCATGTTGCCTGGCTTGCTATTTTCTGCAACCACATTATGGTAGAACTGGCAGCCACAGAATTCACCATCTGCTATGATTACTGCAAGGGGTGCGTGCCGGGGGGGCAAAGGGGAGGGATCTACACATGCGGCAAAGGCAGCTTATTCTCACCCAGAGCTGAACAAAGTATGAAGGGTAGATGCATTTACTAAGCAAAAATCCAAACATCCACTTATTTCATCATTTTAAGTGAACTCACAAAAATGTCTTGTAATCTTTCTTTCATTCTTCCTGCAGAGGGAAGTCACCACGGGTTCTGGGCCTTTTTGGAAGAATGTTTCACCTTTGTGTCCCACAGAAGCCCCTCGCCCATCCTACCCCTTCCCCTGGCCTGCTCACGCAGCTGCACTATTTGTAGAAATGGCTTCTTTTTGTCTGAGAATTGCTCACGAAGACTTTGCAATAGCAACAGATGTTCGTGGGCCCACATCACTTAATTATGAAGGCCCATGATTCTCTGTAGCTCAAGCTGGGGTAGAATGCAGCGGCACAAGCGCGGCCTGGTTTAAGCAAGCTGGGTAACATTACGTCTAGAGTCTCTATTTTGGCTCTTTACGAAGTGGTGAATTGGTCAGAGGCTGGCCTTGCTGGTTTTGAAAGCTCTTAATATTGGAAGCCCTGGCTATTCTCCAGATCTCTTCCTTGAGCCTCATCAAGGCAGATACCTGGCTTCTGAAACTAAACCAGCATTTCAAAGCAGCGACAGACTGATCCTCAGAGGAAAGTCTTTCCATTGTGAACTGGCAGTACCCTGTCCCCCACCAATACGAACAGCTCTGCTCTCTCTCCCACATGTATCATCCCACTTACTGCCTATCCCAAAATGTGTGCTCAACAGGGCCCAGCAGACATACAGATAACTGATGGAGACATCGCGGCATCTTCATATTTCACTGTGCGTCTATTTTATGCAAGAAAAACCCCACTATTCTGAATTGCATCTAACTTCTACTGACGTCAACGTTCATTTTCATCTCTGTGGTGCACAAAGGCAGTGGGTGGTTTGCTAGCCTATAGGAAGGCCAGGCTCAGGCCCAAGAAGTGCACACGCATGCTGCATACACACAACGCCAACAGAGCAGGCAACCTGTCCATAGGTGAGTACCTTACCATGGGCGGAATTAAGACATCTAAGCAGATTGCTACTATAACCACTGACCGCCTCTAATTCCTTCCTTGAGCCTTGAACAAATTATTTATATAACACTGACACATGCCAAGGCCCTGTATGATACACTGGGGGAAATACATTAGGAAACATGATAAACAATGTGATTCACCAAAAAAGATCAACAAACGAAACAAGCAGGTTCTATCATGAGAGAAATACTGCACTGTAGGAACACACAGCAGCAGAGGCTGCAGCCCTAAGTCTGGAGGGGACATCGCCCCTCACCATTTTTACGTGTTTTTCTTGAAGTTCATTCTTTTTATGTCCAGTTCCAATATTTAAAATATTCACCATGCAAAGCATCGAAATTGTGCCTATTTACCTGTTTCAGAATCTCTGGCGATGTGCCTTAAGGACCATCAAATCATTTTTAATAATAGTAACAATTACATTGTTCCACCTATGTAAGTTTGGCTACAACTTGACTGTGCTTATCCTTAAAGAACACAACTAAGGGAAATCATTCCCACTAGGAGGGAATTCCTTTCGCTCCCTATTTTGGTGGCATTGTTGTTTTTTTTTTTCTCCCAATGCAGTTCTTTCCCTCCAATTTTCAGAGGCAATAAAATAGTAGCTGTCTTGCAGCCTCCTCCAAATTCTAGGTATTGTGCATTAGAGGGAAACACATGTCATCAGAACAGAGATCCCTGCTCTTTGTTTCTGGATAGATTGCTGTTAATAAGAGACTCATTTTCACTTTCAAACTGCTAAGTAATTACTTTTTCTCTGGCACAACCACTTGCCACTCTGCTCTAAAGAAACTGCATGTATGTGGATGTATTATGCATGAACAGTTAGCATAATGGGTGCATAGCTTGCTCTTGAAAGTGGCTTCTGTATTGATTTTTTTTTTCTTAATAAAATACTTGGGGACCTTCACCTCTGAGATTTACACAAGAGGAAGAAATTTTAACAATAGACAACAGAGCCAAGATGCAAACAGTATCATATACCTTGCTGCTTGAAACGTAAGACCGCCTCCTTCCCTTTCATTCATTGTTCCTGGCGAGCTGACAGGCAGCCTGACGCGCTGTTACAGAGGCTCACCCCAACGGGTGTCTCATCAGCCACTTAAACATTTATTCATTTCAGAACTCGATCGCAGTTCATAATATTACACACAAATACTGTTTAAAGGCAGACATTCTTCTGTTACACAGATTTCCTTCTTTTTATGTATGCTCCGCACACATCCCCTCCACGCTCAGAAAGTTGAAAGCTATTCCATTAAAACCTCAGTGAGGCTTTGCCCCCCATTAAAAAAAAAAAAAAAGAAACCAATTATGACAAAGATCCTGAATGAGTCATAAGAGAATGCCCTTCAACTGTAGAAGCAGGACTAACATTTGAATGTGGTGACTGCTTCACCAGCAAAGTAAACCATTTTATTTTGTTGAGTCCAAAATAAATAGTCCTCTAGTGTTCCATACTCGCCAAAAAACAGATTGGGACAGGTTGCTGACTTCAATATGATAGACTTTCTTACTTTTTTTAATATACTGTTGATAATGTTATTTAGAAACTAGAAAAAAATAATAATAAAAAGTAGCACCTTTCCATAATCTCCACTTATCTTGATGTGAAAAAGAAAACTGAAGTTTTTATATTTTCATCCAACCCATACAACTCGTACCCTACATATTTTGATAATAATGAACTCTCGTTGATAAAATGTGATGTCACTAAGAAATATACAGGTGTTTTATTACAAAGACACAATTAATTCTGCATATGAGAGGACTAGAGAAGACTTTGAGAACAGTAAGTGACATGGAAGCTGAGCATTTAGAGCTACTAAGAGTTTCTCACTTGAAACTGAGTAGGAACTTTGTCTTTTTGTGCTTTTCCCACCCCACCCCAAAGTCTAGGTATTCATTTATATCATCACAATTTATTATGGTTATTTGTCAACTTGCCTATGTCCCTCATTAGAGTAGTTTGACTCAAGAGTGGGATCTTCATATGCATTTCTTATGCCCCAGTACTCAGAAGGCATTCAACAAAAAGTTTTCCCTTCAAAAAGCTTTCCTTATAAGCTCAAAAAGATTCTGATCATTGATTTTTAAAACACACACACAATGATTGACATGACATTTTTCTCAAAAAGGGAAAACTGCAAAGGAAAAGATCATGAAATCTTTGGCCCACCCTCCCAAATCTCCTACTCGCATCCTCAGAAAGCAGTATGTCAGGAATGCAGTAGGTCAGAAACTGCACCCGCGCACGCACGCACGTGAGTTGTCTGACATAAGGCGGATTACATAGCCAACTTTCAGGTTTTAACTGCAAACTGATAGACGGTCTTGATAATTTGTGGAATTAAATTCATGTGGAGAATTCATGAGTTAACAATAAAGAATAGTGAATAAAGCCAAGAGCTTTATGGAAAAAAGAGTTAATTAGCTCCCGCAGGTTTACCTGCTTCAAAGAGACCCTCTGTGGTTAGAAGACCCAGGTCTGAATCTGGAGTCTCTTACCCTGAGGTCCTGTTCTCTGTGAAATGGAGGTGATCCGGGGCTGTTCAGAGCATCAGACAAGGGAGATAAGTGGATGTGTGTGACTCACAGAACTTCTTAATGACCGCCACCTGTTAAGCAACTGCCTGCTCTGAAGAGATTCCTGTCCTACCACGTGTCTCAGCAGAGGAGACTCCAAACAGAGCTTACAAAGATCTCACCCAAAGGAATCACACCCACTGTCTCTTCCCACTGATAAGGTTCAAGACCTGGCAACCAAGATAGTCAGCCTTCATGGGGACTCTGGTCCCTTCCTCTCATGCAACATTTCCTCACATCAAATTAACTATGGCAAACGGAGCCTTACTTGAGACCCCTACCCTTGACTGACTTAACTGCACTCTGGTGTGGGCCATGAGGCAGAAATGGCCATGTGCCTGTATTTGTAGACAAAGCTCACCCAGCCAGGCACAAGAAGGGCTTTGCCAGAGAAAATGGTGTTCATGTTTACCACCTCCAGAACGAAAGCTGCTTTTACTCATTCTCTGCTGTATAAAAAGGCTCTTATTATATGTTGCCCTCCTTTGTAATAAAGCCCTCCTTTGGGGGGAAAAATCTTCAGCAATAAGCCTGCTAGTCTTTTAACAGAAGATAAACAGAGTGAGGCAAACTTCAAACCACTCTAGTTTGTTTTATCCAACCACACAGGATTCTGCGTTGCTTTCCTTCCCTCTCTCCCCACTTCTGTTAATAGTTATTTTTAAAGAATTAGAACAGAAGCAGGTCAATAATGCATACAGATGTTACGAAAGTATTAGGCCATACTCTGTGTAAAGAAACATGCGAACAGTTCATGGACTAAGATAATTTATAACTCTTCCTTTACCAAATACATTTTACCTATAATTCCACCCACATAACAGATGGTTCACTTCAAACCTCACTGCAGAAAATGGCTCTCAGCTCAACAACCATCATCACCACCACCAACAGGTGTTTGTAAAACATCCACTACTTTGGGGGCAATACTAGGTTTACTAGCAAGCAAGAATTAAAGAAGAAAAAGAAAAAAAACAAAAGTTTATTCTCCTTTCTCATGATATTCATTTTCTTTTATGTCCTTCCTTCTCTATCATATGAAGATACCTGTTTGCTTTCCCTCCTCATACCTCTGAGGTTAAGCCAAAGAGTTCTCCTGAACTAACCCTTCCAACTGGTTTTGTTCTTCCCCTCTTGGGCCAAGGACACCCATGGAAGAGACTCAATTGACTGATATCCTCTGGGCTTTTTCTCCCAGAGCGGGAGGACACTTGAGTATCTTAGAAAAAGAAGCTCAAGCTCCCTGGCTCATGGCCCATTCACTTCACGTCGAGGTCATAGGGCACTGGGGACCCGGGATCGAAGCACACACTCCCCATCTGTGGGCATCCTCAGGACACCCGTGATTTTTGGCGTTTATGGTAAAAGGATTGGAAATGCTGTCAAAGTATTTTCTGTGACCTTCTTACCACATTAGAGATGCACACGCCAGCCATATTCTACATGGGTATTTTCATCACCCCCACCTACCATTTCCTGCCATCGCCTGACAAAAGGATGAGAAGAAACTGAAGATTTCATGGGACACCAAAGAGTTATTTACAAATGAGCAAAGGAGCTCAAAACTGGGTGGAAAATAGATCTAAAAATCCATTATAAGCTGCTTTGAACCAAAGTACTTATTATTAATATCACCAAGCATACTATAGCCATATAGGTGGCAAATTAATATGAGTGAAAAAGCTAAATATGATTCCTAATGACCCAATAAATGCCCCCAAATATGCCACAAGTTTTACAAATATTTAGCTCACTATTAGTTTTCATCATAGTTCTTATTCCAAAATTGTACAAATGAGGTTTCACAATTTACAGCAACGATGACGACCTTCTTTAACAATCACAAAGGACCTGTTTTATTAATTTTCCACCATGGTGTTCTGTTTTGAAATACTTGGTTTATCAAACAAAGTAATTTCTAAAAGTAAATTTTGTTTATATCTAAAAACAATAATAGACAGTTCTCTGTCTCCTACTTTTCATTTTCTATTCATTCCCTTTACTTTTTTTTTAACTTAGCCTTCCCTTCCACTTGTGTGTGTGTATACACATGTGGTATACATACACACAAATATTCACAAATCTTGAACATGTTCAGAGACAAAAAGGTAAGGAGTTTGTAAATATAAGTAGATTTCAATTACTTAACAGTTCAAAAATAAAACAGCCAGAGTCCCTGAAAATATTCACCAGGCTCCCCCATCTTCACATTGGCTATTTTTCAACTTCCAGCATATTATTTATATACTTAGAGGAAGTAAAAATACAAAAGGCTTATGGAGGCATTTGGGCTCACCAGCAAGGATAACTCCAAACAATTCTCTCCAGAATCTAGTGTGTCTAAACCCCAAACATAAGCATCTCAGGCCTTCAATTCCATCACTTCAATCTCAGATCGGACCGTTGGGGAAAAGCACACTCCTTGGGCCCTGAGCTCCTTGGCCAGGTGCCTCGCTGCACTTAGCTGTGGAGCTGATCTCCCGGAGCAGCGCCGCTATGGCCTGCCTGCTATTCTTCACCATCTGGAGCCTGGAGTTGATATAAACGTGAACCACACAAGCAGGAGGGAAAATAAAAACAAAAAACTCTCATTCACATTTAACTGAAATTCATGGCAGAACAATGCACCATGCCCTCTAGACTTTTTAGACATCTAAGAGAGGAAAGAAAGGGTAAAATACAAACCTTCTCCTTTGTTTTCTGGTTCTCTGCTCTAAGGTCTTCATATTCGCCTATTGCTAAAAGAAAAAAAAAAAGGAAAGCAACATTATAACACTATCAAAGTTTACTGTAGAAAAACCTGGGAACCCAAACTAACCCCTATTGTCTATTTTCTAGGTTGGGTGTGGGTGCAGAAGAAGCCACAGATGGAGAGCTTCTACTTTTAAGAGTAAGGAAGAAAAGGAGACCATAGCAGATGTGAGCCCACCAAACCGAATTTCAGTTCTCCCTGGATCATTAGGAATACGTAAGAGCCAAAAGTGACAAGTTACTTCTCTTTGATACTCAGGACTTGGTCCTGGCAGGTGGGTGTTCCCTAAAGTTCCTTCCAGCACTATTAGTCTGTGGTGCCATAATTAGAGGTTTATTTTTAAAATCAGCTGCCAGGAAATAAAGTATGCTTACACATTCAACTCACTGTTATATAGCTGCTTTATCCACAAAGCAAAAAGTTCCCACCAAGAGCATTCAGCTAAGAGTAACTATTTTCAGGCACTGCAAGATCATCATTCACCAAGCATGCCCTCCCCAGGTATCAGCCAGATTCATTTCACTAGGTTGGGAAAATAATGTGAATTATTTGGAAATATTTCCAACTCTATGGGGAAAATAGCAGTTTTTAACTTTAAACCCTTTCTTGCCAGAAAAATAAAGTAACTTGAACCCCCACATTCATCTTTTAGCCAAAGCACCATTTTCAGATATCCTTACAGTTGAGGACATTACACGTAGAGCGCAGGATGGAGGGACGAGGGATCTGGGATTGACGATGGAGCCCGTGCCAAAGGCAGGCCCGCAGAACGGCCGCACGCTTCTGGACCAGCACCGGGGCTGCCCCCCCACACCAGAAAACCGCCAGATGGGAATTTTATACTTTTACTCTCTACAAACGTAACTGGATGTATCTACAAAAAGTTTTCCTTCAAAAAAAAAAAAAAAGGGCAGAACTTCCTATTTTTATGAATAACCCAAAGACAGAAACAAAAAATCTGAAATTAGGGGCTTCAAGAACATCCCAGATATCTGGTCATTAATTCTAGAGGCATATGATTCTAATGACCGATCACAGAGCACCGCAGAAACAGACAATTCCCATGGGAGAGTACGTGTCTTATGTCCTCCAACCATGACCCAAAGAGTTTAGAATAGCTGCTGTGATGGTAGCACCAGAATTTTAACGGTCCAATTCAGATGAACAAATATTTATGGGATTGTATCAGCAATGTCCGGAAGCTTCACTAGCACTCCATGACCACCTAAATAAGAATTAATGGGCAATTTTACTGAAGCCACACCCGAAAAGAATCCTTGAAAATCAGCCCTAAAAACAACTGAATGTATACATGTAAAGATATAGCTTTTTAAAAAACTAATTACATTTCCAACAGAAAAGATACGATTAACCACAGAACGCAGTTCTCTGCACACGGGCTCCTCATCAGCCTCCACCACACAAACCCCTAACGGTGCTTTGAAAAATAAATATATACTTTATTGAGAGACTTTGCATTAGTTTACATTTAAAAATATCTATGGATGAGGTTGAAAATCAAAGTTGATTTACCACTCTATTCTTGATGACCTACTTTATAGATGTACAAAACAAACAATAAAGGCTTATAAAACCTGACCTCATATTGACATTAAGAAAATTTTTTCTATTTAAAACATCAGATAATGGCTTTGAAGCCTTTTTTGAAATACCAATACTATTCTTCCATTCCATTGCCAATAGAATCCACATGAAACAACTGTAGGCTCCCAGTTACTGAGTCTTCATGGAAAGCATTCATTAAGAACCTTTAACCTATCATATCTTCATGAAAATCAAAGAAAATATGCTTTATTGTGATTATTCGTGAGTTAAAAAATAATAATAATGCCAGGTACAGGGAAAGGAGATGAAAAGGGTGGGAAGAAATTCAACCATTTGGTAGTAGGAAGGGGGCACTTGGGAAATAGGGCATAAAAGAAAAACAGTTACTAATGTTTTTATTTCTTTGAAGTTAGAAAACCAAGCTCACTGCTTTAAGTAATATTTACACACGTGCGTGTGTGCACACACACACAACATAGTGATTACACATGTAACCATCCTCAGCAAAACTGGCAAAGACTGAAGCGACCTACATTATTCAGCTACTTTTTTTTCTGGCAAAACTAAAGAGTCACAGAGAAAAAGCCTTCTCATTGTTCTAGAACTGGCTCACAGTTTGAGAAGTTTAAGTCAGTTGCACAATTCAAGCGATCTGATGAGAGAGGTCCTCCAGACCTTGAACTAAGCAATGCAAAAGTAAAGATAAATTCGACCAAATCGCTGCCGTAGAAAAGGATCAGCTCTCACTTTGCAGGTACAGTTCACGTCACTGTACCAAAAGGTCACACAGCACAGTAAGTAAAAAGTACAGCCGAGGCCCAGCCCGAGCCCATACGGTAGCCAGGGGACCTTGGGCAAACTGGTTCATCTGAGTCTCATATTTCTCATCTGGAAAACAAGAATAATGATTACACGTCTCACAGTGTTGTTACTGAGAGTGAGTTAACATGTAAATATAAGAGTGCTTAGGCAGACGAAGTGTCCAATACACGCTACCACGGCTATCATTATTGACACAGTAAAGCACATCAAACCTTGTGTGTGTGACGAGATTAGGCGGCTCTCTAATGCCCTCAGTCCGGGGCTTACTTTTGTCACTTTCGGTCTGAAAGATGACACAGCAGAAAATCTCTGAAACCCTAGGTACTACGATCCTCCACTACATCAGAGGAGAAGGGGAGCTACAGATCAACTGCAGTTTGGCAAACAAGTGGAAGCATGTCCAGAAGCTCTGCTTTTCACTCCTGGCTGAACATCTGAATCACCTGCGAAGGTTTCAAATCATGCAGATGTCTAGTGCTCTCTCCACACGCCCCTAACCCAAGGTTCTGGTCTACCTAGTCTAGGGTAGACCTTGGGCATCTATGTGTTTTTCAGAAGTAAGCACCCAAGGTGATTGTAATGTGCAGCCAAGGAAGGGAATCGCCACCTAAGAGTACAGAATGGAAGAAAAAGGAAGATGTGGAGAAAAGGAGGAGCATATCAGGCAGAGCACAGGCTGCAAGAATCCTGCTGGTTTTCCATTTTCTAATTCCCTAAATTCCAAGAAAGGGAGTTTTCTCTCCAGGCGGCAAATCATGAGGAAGCTGGCCCAGGAAGTAGCAAGTGCACTTAGTTGTTTCAGAAATATGACAACTAAAGCTGGTAACTACAGGCCACAAACACCTCCGGCTAGGGCGAAAAACAATCGGCTGGCCTGCGACCTTCCCTGCATTACCCCCAAGAGTTCAGTGTCCCTGGAGACCTTGTCCCAGGTGGGCGAATCACCCCACCTCTAGCATTAACTGCAGATCAGCATTTGCAACCAGTACTTCCTCGGCCTGCACCATCCAATGTGGCAGCCAGCTGCCACATGGGGCTACTTACATTTAAATTATTTACAATTAAATAAAATGTAAAATTCAGTCCTTCAGCAGCATTAGCCACATTTCAAGTGCTCAACAGCTAATGGGTTGGCCAAAAAGTTCGTTTAGTTTTTCTGTACAATGGCTCTAGCAGGGTTAGTCTTTAACTTCATTCAAAATAATGCTGTTAAGACTGTATTGTGAGAGCTGTCATAGCAGCATGCGTTTAAAAAAAAAAATCAAAATTGGTGAATTTTTGCGCAGCCATTTTAATATTGAAGATGGAAGAAAATACCATTTTTGGCGTAGTATGCTTTATTATTTCAAGAAAGGTAAAAACGCAACTGAAATGCAAAACAAAAGTTTTGTGCAGTGTATAGAGAAGGTGCTGTGACTGTGTCAAAAGTGGTTTGCAAAGATCCTTAATACTAATGACATCTTGGCGAAACAACTCTTTGCTGTGGGGTTGCCTTATGCCCTGGAAGACATTTAGCAGCACCCCGGGCCTCCACCCACTAGATGCCAATAGTGGGAGACAGGAGACATAAAATATCCAAGTCAATGAAATTATTGGTGAAGATGAAAAACGTGTCTTTTATTTTATGGGGGAAAAAAAAACCCACATGGACTTTTTGGTCAACCCAATACAAGCGGCTAGTGGCTATCATAATGGATAATGGACACAGAACATTCCTGTCACGGAAGAAAGTTCTGCTGGACAGCACTCTTTTGGACACCTCTGTCCTCAAACTCAGCGTGGGGGAAGTGAGCTCATCAGCTCCCAGCCCTCGGACCTGCTGCTCCTTGGTGCCACCACCCACCTAATCCTTGAGCTGGTTCCTCAGGGTCGCCCTTCACCCCCCCCTTGCTCCCCCCTCCAAAGGAGCAGCGAATGGCTCAGACCTCTTTAAATGACTCTCCAATCTGCCCTTCCTTTAAAGCCAGTACCTCTGCCCTAACTCTGACCCTTAATAACTGCAAAACCTTCTTACCCAGCCGCCCAGTATCCCCAGTTCATTCTTTACACGGTAGGCAGTCAGCACAGTAACAAAGAAACCAGTTCATTTCACTCTCTTATTTAAAAGCCCCCAAAGATGTTAGGACCCCACTCTCCCTTCCTTTCTCCCCCCTCCGCCCTCACACTGTTTAGCCTTGGAGACCACAATTCACTCCATCACTCCTAAAGTCCCAAGGCTTCCCTGGACCCTCTAGGAGCTTTAATACCCAGGTGCCTTTAAAATACTTCCCCCAATGTGTTGGTTGTGGATCTGCCCTGCCGCCTGGAAAAAGTTGCCAAATATGATGACATCAAGAAGGTGGGGAAGCAGGAGTCAGAGGACCCCCTCAATGTCATCCCGGGCTATACTGAGGACCACACCGTCTCCTGCAACTTTAACAATGACACCCACTCCTCCACCCTCAATGCTGGGGCTGGCATTGACCTCAACAACCACTTTGTCAAGCTCATTTCCTAGTATGACAATGAATTTGGTGACAGCCACAGGGGGGTAGGCCTGATGGTCCACATGGTCTGCAAGAATAGGAGCCCCCTGGACAACCAGCCCCAGTGAGAGGA